CACATACAACCATCAGTTGGTGGGACCTATTCCAACATGGAATGCAGTATGCCCAAATGATATATTAACATAGTGGATTTAAATAAGGTAAGAAAGTTTTGCTGTAAGTCTTTCACCTGTAAATTGAAGGGTAGTTTATGTACAATATTAGTGTGCTTAGAGTAAAACATTCATATACACAGTGATAAGAACTGCTTCACAGATTGACTTAATTCAACAAAATATCATTCAAAGTCAGAACAAAAATATTTGGTTAGACACCAAATACACACATTCACTGATAGAAGCAATAATGCCATCAGATTTATTGGAAATGTAAAGTATATCTTAGGTATTTAGTACAGAGGTATGGGCACTTGCTAGATTATTCAATAAACAAATTCATTCTTTGTATCCTGATAATTTTCTGGATAAAGTCTATACGTATTGTAAACATATAAATACTGACATTGAAATAACAATGATAACAATAATAGCCATTCCTCAGACACACAAACCATCACATGGAACAGAATTGCCTCATATGAAATGCACAGGTTTAGGACCTATACTGTAACCAGGGCCTAGATTTCGAAGCTCTCTTAGCGCTAAGATAGTCGTAAGTTAATGTTAATGAATGGCACTTACGACTATCTTAGCGCTAAGAGAGCTTGGAAAATCTAGGCCCTGGTATCTCCATAGCAATGCAGTATTATTGATAACACTAAGCGTTTGAAATAGCTTCTGGCCCGCTGGCCAAATACTAGTTGACTGTGAATCGGGCCAGTAGTATACTGTTAAAGCTACCCGACTGGCTAGCCAAAAATCTCAGATAACATGTTCTTTATTTAATGCACTTGAATATGATGAAGTCACTTACTAAGGTGTTAAAAGTCTGCCCTCAAAGGTTTTGTGATATTTATTATCTCTTGTCACACATCCTGGCCAGTGATTTTTCAAAATAAATTCATCCACTGATGACACTCCCCATATTATTATTTGATACAAAATGATGTTTTTATGTATCTTGCTTATATAGTTGGACAGTTTTCATGCTTCACAAACCAAATTTAACAAAATGCTACATAAGCAGAACTAAAGCTCATTAGCAATGACAGGGTCTCAATACGTTTTTTGTCCTTTGCTAAAATTAACAAATCACTGCATTTCACAAATGTTGACATTTAGGTTGAATTTAATTTTTCTGCGAGTTTCAGTACGTATTTCAGCCAACTGCATTCTACAAGACCTTTCTAAAGGTCTCTAATAAAATGTTTCACAAATTCATAACCTCTGCAAAAAGATTTATTTCATCATCCTTAAAAAATAAATTATTAACTCATATATACTTTGAAATCATACAACATATATTATAACATCTCCTCCTCAATTAGGTTCAGCTATATCAATTAACTATACAAACAGCAAACAATAATTGTCAGGGACAAATACCTTTTTAAAAGCCATACCTTTATAAAATCCAACTGAAAAAAACTGAAACGTGAAAAAATATTAAATGTGGTTGGTTTCTTCATTCCACCCACTAAAATAAGTAAAATGTTCAAAAACAAATTCATTACCGGTAACTGTCATAGATATAAATGAAAAGATTGATATGCACTACTTAAAGTTTGTTGAAGTTAAATCTTAAAAAGTTTCAATTAATTTATGACAAATCCCTGTTCCTCCCATCCCACTATCTTTCCTAATATCGTAACATTTTGATCACATCAAATAATGTAATTGAAACTTTATTTTTTTTATTTTATGTTTTTGACCTAGTGACCTGAATTTGGGGCCAAAAATATTTGATTAAAAAACGGAAGAAACTATGGCTTAAAAAAGAAAGATACTTTTCTTTTTTGTGAACACAATACAACTTGGAATCACATTACAGATAGATATACAATCAATAAATAAAAAGGACTAACACATCAGAATTATTTAAGATATATGTATATAGGCTACAAGCGGGTCCGGTAATTTCGCACGTCTGGATGTGCTTAGGTGCGCGGAATTACCAGACGGCATTGTAATAATTACAAGATCAGCTGACTACCCATCAGTTTTGTGCTGAGCTCTAATATTGATCAAGAAAATGGTTGAGTATATTATTTCTTGAAGCACATAATAGTGAATTTGTAGAAATATGTAATATCTAATTAATATTGCACAACCATATTCACATACTTTAAGTGCATTGTCCTGTGCAACAGAAATTTCAAATGAATTCTTATATTTCTCATATCAACTCTCATGAATATATACAACCTTGTAAAACTTGACAGTACTGTTGATATTGAAATTGTCTGATTCATTTTCATGTACACAGTCATTGTTACATATTTATGTCTGTGGTAAATATGTAGCTATTCCTAACTAGACATTCAGGGTCCTGGGTTCTGATCCACAAAGCCTTCGTAACGTTACGACCTGTCGCAACACTATAGTTTATCATAGGCTTACGAATGTTGTAAAGCTAACGCTAACGCTTTGTGGATCAAGACCCTGACGACTGATCCACAGAGTGACTGGCGTTACGACCTGTCGTAGCTCTATAGTTTATCATAGGCTTAGGAATGTCGTAAAGCTACGAACCACTAACGCTTTGTTTATCGAGAGCCTGAGCACTGATCCACAGAGTGACTGGCGTTACGACCTGCATAAATCTGTGTGAAAGAATCATGGTAGCACTAGTAATACTTTGTGGGGCACTGATTAGGATTTAATTGCAACAAATATTTCCATTTACAAACAACTTAGCACCTGTGTTTCATGTGAAACTATTTGTAAACTTCCATATGACCCATGTGGTATTAGGATATAGGATATTGAAATAATTTTCAGTAATTCAGCAAGTTCGCGTAAGGATTTTACGAAATGGTTAACCATCTGTACAGTTGCACTATTCCCTATCAAAGCAGATCTACACTGTCGATACAACACAGAGAATGAGTGAGTGAGTTTAGTTTTACGCCGCTTTTAGCAATATTTGAACAATATCACGGCGGGGAACACAAGAAATGGGCTTCACACATTGTACCCATGTGGGGAATTGAACCCAAGTTTTTGGCGTGATCAGCGAAAGCATTAACCACTAGGCTACCCCACCGGTCCCGATTTATTTCTCCCACGGACAGTAGTGACATGTGCAGCTACTGAGATGTGGAGAATATATCAATTTTCAGACAAGTATATGGCAGAATGGTCCCCCTTGACCATGAAGACGTAAGCATATACCATTCATCTCCATACTATTGCTATTATTGCATCTACTTATTCCCTTAATTAAAAACATCACAGTGCAGCCACGATTCATAAAGTGACCACAGTGTCATGTAGAATCGAAGGGTAGCGGTTTTGTAAATCTATGTAAAAATGCAAGGTTTAAAACAGGCAAAGTGCCGCATTTGATTCAGGAGACTAGGCCAGTGATATATCAATACTGTTAAATCGTCTCAGTTCTAGCACTAGGTTCACATTTTCATGTATACACATTTTCTACTTCATCTCACATACTTAACATTTCATTGCAGGACAAGATGAGTGAGTACCTGATCGAAATGATTTGCCTCACATGAAGAAGTGAATGAGTGAGTATGGTTCTATGCTGCTTCTAGAAATATTCCAGCAATATCACAGCAGGAGACACCAGAAATGGGATTCACACATTGTATCCATGTGCAGAATTGAGCCCAGGGGCTCCTTTCACGAAGCAACCTTTACTAAGGTTAACCTTAACTCCCATTCTTTAACACTGCACTAAGGTTACCTTAGTGACTTACATCACCTTAGTGTTTTGTGAAAGGAGGCCCTGGTCTGACAAGCGGATGCTTAAACCATTAGGCTACCCCACTGTCCCCAGGTGTAGTAGAAATGGTAAGCACACCGATGAACTAACAGGCACCTTTACTTTTAGAACATATTCATGCCATTGTATTGTAAATGTACACCTGAATGACAGCTACAATCGAATCAGAACCTAGTTTATTGTCCACTGTATAGATCTCTTATAACAAAAAGGGCATAAAGTGTCTCAAAAACAGGTCAGCCATGCTATACTGAATTCCAGCTGAGAGTTGTGGCAAATGAAAGCTGAAAAACAAAAAGTGACCTTGACAATTCAGACACATTTGGTTTCAATACCTTAATCTGGCCAGGCAGTATTGGCAAATGTCTCACACAACATATTTGACAGTGAGTGAGTGTAGTCAGAAATGGGCGTCAACTGACTGACTTACTGAGTTTGGTTTTACGCCGCTTTTAGCAATATTCCAGCAATATCACGGCGGGGGACACCAGAAATGGGCTTCACTCATTGTACCCATGTGGGGATTCGAACCCGGGTCTTCGGCGTGACGAGCCAACGCTTTAACCACTAGACTACCCCACCGCCCAGAAATGGGCGTCAAACATTGTAAACCCATGTTGGGAATCTTACCCAGGTCTTCAGCATGATGAACGAATGCTTTAACCATTTGGCTACCCCACCGCCCTTATTTGACAGGATTGGGATGAACCAGGGAGCCTGTCACTGAAGTGCTTGGACTATCCACCAAGGACAGGTGAAAGACAAACAAAGAGGTAGGGTGTAGACCTTTCTGGTTCACCGAAATTAGTTTACAAAGATCTTTGACTTATGATATGAAACATATTCTGACTGCAGCCATTTTCTGTCTAATGGTTGGACATAATATACCCCATGTGTCTAAACTGATTGAAAACTCTGCTTCAGTCAGAGACATGCTCCTTCATGTTCAAATACACTGTATTGGAAAAACATTTGCTGAATACCTCTAAAAGTAGGCTTGATCATAGCTTCGCATTCAGTTTTCCTAAAGTTCAAAACATGAAAGTGTTGTAAAGGGAAATGATGACTTCAGATTCATTGGAGCACAAACAGTTACCTCCCTTTAAAACATGAGTGTAATTTATTTGATTTTATCCAAAATCAGAAAATTTTGAGGTAAGTGATCTGTAAACAAAGTAATACTTGAAATAAACAAAGTTTTTTAAGCTTCTGTGAAGAACCATGTATATTCTAATGTATTGCTGAGTTACAAAATGTGCTTACTACAACATCAAGTGGGTCATTCTCTCACAAACTGACAAGTGACAAGACAAACAAAATGAAAGAATTCATTTCCTGATGAGCTAATTAACAAATGAAGACAATTTATAGCCCAACTCGATAAACCTCTAACAGGTTGGTAGCAATGGGTAGCTTTTCAGGTTTTCAATATTCCAGCAATATCATGGTGGGACACCAGAAATGGGCTTCACACATTGTAACTATGTGATGAATCGAATCCAGGTCTCGGCATGACGAGTGAACGCTTTAACCACTAGGCTATCCCAACACTCCCATGAGCCTAAGACACGCACAAATGTAGAAATAATTACTGAATTATCTGGCTGTGAAAGGTCAAGTGTTCATTCAATGACCAGTGTCCAGAATTGCTGCCTACCATTATGTTACTGGAAATGTTTCATGAAATATGCCCGTCCCATTAAGGGTAGATCAGATTGTCATGTGTTTTCCTGTTTCTACCTGTTTTGTGTATGAAATAGGAAGACAAATCACCAAAATACTTGAAGCATTATTTTTTGCCAAATGAAGAGTATTCTATGCATGCTAGGATAATACTTCAAATGCTTGACAAACATGCTTGCTGGAAAATAACTTCAAAGCATGTGAAGAATAACTATTTCTAACGTTAAGAATAATTTTTTCTAACATAGCAAAGCATTTCTGAAAATAAGCTTCATATGGGACATTCATGATTATTCAATAATAATCTTCAACCACGAAATCACTCTTCCGGGTAATGATACACATGTAATATTCCATTGATACACATGTAATATTCCATTGATACACATGTAATATTCCATTGATACATATTAAATATTCTATCTAGAGACAACTATACTGGAATCTTTCATTGCCCTGAATATGGATACACCTAACAGGTGAGAGTTGAAGGAAATGATTGTACAAACAGATTGTATAGTATGTGAATGAACACTGGAGGAAAGACAATTTAAGATTGAGATACACGTGCACCCTGGTTCTGTTTGAATGCTCTGAAGACAATATCACAATATGCCTGATGTACAAAATTATTGGAGAAACAGATCCTGTGTGTTGAATTTACTGCATGCCGTCAGACACTCCAATCAAACTCTCTGTTTGTTCACGATCCAACTCCCGTGTCCTGGAAAAAGATATTCTCATATACAGTAAGATACATCTATAATCAACAAGCTTATAACGAACTGATGGACATAACGAATGAGTTTTTTGGTCCCAGCCACTTTCTGAATGTTTTAGTTGAAAGTAAATTCAAGTAATTTGTTATCCCTTTGCTTTTGTTACAACCATTGTTTACTGTCCAAGTATAATCTTTAAGTAACTTATTGTTAATTATAAGTTACATATTCAAATTTGAGTTTCATTTTTATATATTCATAAAATCAAGTTTAGCGATTCAGACTGTATAGTAAAGAATCAAAGAGGGAAAGATTAAAAAAAAAAACTTCAAGCATGTTTGAATAAGTTTCATTGGGTTAGTGAGTGAGTTTAGTTTTACACCACTTTCAGCAAAATTCCAGCAATATCACTGTCCTGGACACCAGAAATAGGCTTCACATATTGTACCCATGCAGGGACTTGATCCTTGTTCTTTGGCGTGACAAGCGAACGCTTTAACTACTTGGCTACCCAATTGACCCTTTCATTGGGTTAATTGTTTTGTTCAGCAGTCAGAAATATTCCAACTATTTCACTGCACCCTGAAAAACTGTGGGTATATGACACACAATCAACTAGGCCAATCTTTGTAAACACTGTATCTTCCCTATATTTGACATGTAGAATACTAAGAATTTAATTGAATCACAAAAATGACCATCAAGCCGTGGGCTTGTACAAGAAATTTTAACTGTGTGGAAATTCTAGTTCTGTCTTTAAGTGGTCGGCCATATTTTCAGTCACAACTTCACAGATTATCTGTGACATTACTAGACTGACTGTGTCAGGATTCATGTAACAAAGGAATTCCAATCTTACCTGGATTTTAGTCGGCGCCGACAGAGGCAGTGTATAAGTTTTTTCACAGCAATGAGAACCGGATCCCAGTTCTCATAGTGGGTTAAAAAGCTAACAGCGAAGAACGCAACAAAGACAGGCACAGATCCCAGGTAGAACATCCAGGAGTAATTAACCTGGAACAGGATCAACACATCACATTTCATTCACAATCATCAGTTGCATAGATGACTGATTACTCTTCATTGGTTTCAGTTGCCAGTTAAATAAATTTGATTATCAACTGGTTATTCTCTAGTTCATTTTTCTATTACCACAAAACAGTTCAGTGCAAAACAACAGGCCTGATCAAGGTATTCCTGAATAAACAGTGACGAGACGTTTCATATTTCATATTTCAGAAAGGAGTAATTGATGTAGATAAAGTTGTAAGTGATGCTTGGGATGATAAACTGTAGCTTTGGTCCCATTCGTAAAGGAACTGTCAAAGTAAGACTTACAACATTCGTAGCATTAAGGTCACTTCAAGTGTGTGGAAGACCAAAGCCCAAGTTATCCCAGTTTTGTTACAATTTTAAAAACTTATGCTGATAGTGTTTCAGACAATGGTTGCCTTCTATTTTTCCTCCAATGAATCCATTCCAGGATGCATCTTTATGTAGGATGTGTACATGCTATCTTGGGCCCTGTTTCACAAAGTTCTCGTAAGCCTAAGATCTTGCAGCATTTGTACCTCCTATACTGTAACATTGACTTACAATAGTCGTAGCGCTATGAGAGCTTTGTGAAACAGGGCCCAGGCTCTATCATAAAATGTGAGCACAGATTCTTTGCTTACCCCTTTCATGATTACATCGGCCATCATGGTGAGAGGTATTGTGAGACTTAAGGCAAGGGTTGCGATAAGAGATGACGTCAGAAAACAGCCCCTTGAAAACAAGAGAAATACCATGTTTCACAATATCTCAAGAACAACTCTGTTAAATCACTGAACTGTCTGATTATATCACAGAGGAAGTGGGTGTGAATCTAATTTTAAGTCAAAAAGTTTAATTCTGAAACTAAATGCCATTAAGTGAGATCCGAAGTCAACTGTTGTGCAAAATGTCGTCTCTGTGCCATGGTTTGGATGACAAATAGACAGTTTCCATAATTGAAACATTATGTTCCTCCACAAAGAAGACTATTATTACAGATTTTCAGTTTTATTTTACCATTTTTTATTGTGCATTTTTATTGCTGTGCATTGAGTATTGCTATACTTAAATTCAATGTTTATGATTCCATCACGTTGTGATGTCTGAGAAGAGAATTCGAAAAACATCCAATTTTGTTTTTATTTCAATCTGTATGTATTTATCTCAAGAGCAAGAAGAAACCTGAGTGCCATTCTCCTTAGTTTCAGGCTCATCTTTTCAGTTGGTACAAACAAGAAGTTACAAGTTATCCGACAGCAAGAAGGAAAGATGTCCAATGCTGTGATGTAGGACACTGCTAGTTTAAAAGCATATACAGTGAAGCCCCGTTAGTCCGGACTCCGATAATCCGGATGTCTCGTCTCCCGGACGATTTTAGCTTGTTACCAATCTATGCCTAGATAATTTGCCTCGATAATCCGGAAATTCGGTTTCCGGAACCGGACGGTAAGTAGCTGTCACCAATCAGTAAAATAAACAGTAAATTGCTTCACAGTCCGGACGCTGTAAGTCGTGTTCACGAACCGTAACAACACCTCCCCGGCGATGTTTACTTAATTAACTGGCCAACTGGGTTGTTGTTTTAATTAGACATTAAAAGCTCCCGACTGAAGATGCTGTACATTTACACTTTGATTGACATCACAAAACAAAGGCGTGGATGACAAGTGAGCTGTTTTGCGATTGGTTAATGTACTTTGACAGACAGATGCGGTCACGTAGACTTAAAGAGATTTTGCATACTACAATAGATCGCTTGTTAGACATTACCTCACCTGTACTGAGGAAGGACGTGATCAGACACGCCGGATCAACATGCGGATGTCACTCGGTAAACTTATTGATGTGATGAATTAAGCTTTACATTAAATGCCTATTTGTTTTATCCAGATTCGTGTCGTTTTTGTAATAGTTAGGGAAGCAACTTGGGTCTTGATTCAGTAGTCCGGACTATTCGCAATCCGGACGAATTTACTGAGAAACGCAACCGTCCGGATTAACGAGGCTTCACTGTATCTCTCTTCTTTAAATATTTCCTTCACAACTTTAAACTTTAAAATTTAGAGAAAATAGTGGTATAACTGGATACAAATCACTCTGCACAAACAATTATTGAGGATGACCAGAGTCACCAACTTACCACAGCCACAGGAACTCGGAGAAGACTGTTCCAACAAGGCCATTGATAGCTATCAGCAGCCATTGACTCTTGTCTGGCCACTCAAACACCTCAGCCTTGGAATAGTGGATGATGAAGAACCCTGGCCACAATAGAAGTGTACAGAAGAGACCCACAAACCCTGGAAAACAACGGCGGACATGTTAGATTGGCATACCTGATACATCATCCCTTGAAGGACTTTCCAATATGGGCTGTACAGAATAGACCAACAAATCTAGGAAAACAACGGCAGATGTATCAGATTGGCAGAGATATCCCCAATACATCATTACATACATTGTAACACATTGACACGAAGACATGTATATATATATAGCCTTGTTGTGTGTTTAAGAAGCATGACTGACATAATAAATAACATATGAAGCCACGGAGAAACATATTGTGTAATTGTGTGACAAATCCTATAAATCCATAAATCTGGAAATGCTGAAACCTGACAAAATCATAAGCATTATCATTATGATTAACTTTCCAGCAGGAAAGTATAAAAGGAACATGATATATGTATTTAAACTTACCAAAAAACATGGGAATATCAATCTTATCCTCGTGGTCAACTTTCCGCCTCAGCGACACAAGGTACAGGGCGTAGCATATCGCGTCTCCAAGGGCCCAAAGTGCACCTGCCGGAACACCGTTCTCCAGCTTTATATCTGATATACTCACTAGCACCACACCTGCAATACTGGAAATACAAAGAGATGCTGGAATAAGGATGGCCATTGTTGGCAGTGTTTGTGAGTGAGTTGGAAGCCCCCCTGAATGGTATCACAAGTAGCGTCACCTTTGTAAGCCCTCATATATGAGTATTGAGTAAAAAAGTGAAGTCCTAAATGTTACTGTTTTTATGTAGGTTTAAAAACACTTTCTGGAGCCCACATCTGAAGACTGAATTGTCACTCCCTCACGGACTATGTCTTTTCTACCTTCAACAAAAGTGTCCTTTCATCGATCCCGAATTGACTCTAGTTCTAACGTACATATGGTAACAATAATGCAATGCTTAGATACAAATAGTAAGTGAGTATGGCTTAACGCTGCTTTTAGCAATATCACGGTGGGGGGCACTAGAAATGGGCTTCATACATTGTACCCATGTGGGGAGTCGAACCCGGCTCTTTGGTGTGACGAGCGAACGCTTTAACAACCAGGCTACCCCATCACCCCTTTAGGTACAAATAACTTTAAAGAAAACTTTTCAGTACCTGACTAAAACAGCTACTAATTTGGACAGCGTAAACTTGTCTGCCCCTGAACTTGGGTAAACAGCTGCACAGACAAGGGTAAACAGTCCTGACGTAGATGACAATACATTGACCATGCCAGCCTCCGTCTCAACTAGGGCCTTCTGATAGAAATACTGGGCAAAAAAAACCACTGAAAAGAAAAATGAGAAAGTGTAAATAATTGACAGTGTTCTGGTGGAAAGAGCCACAGTGGCACCAAAATGAAGACTGCTGTCGTCTGAGATACATTTCATATTGTAGTCATTTCAATCTTCAAAAACAAATGATAGAGTCGTTTATAAAAAAGAGAATGTTGCTTTTGCATCCCAATGATAAATACATTTGTCTGAAGAATATTACATTCTATGGAAGACTTGTTTAGCTTTGGCATAAAGAATGAATATTAGGGGTGAAACGGTACGCTCTTACCACGGTACAGTAAGTATTGCGGTACAAGGCCTTCGGTTTGGTCCGTTTAGGTTCGGTATATGAGAACTTACTTCCGTAAAAAAAGCCTAGCAAAGACCTGCATAGATTTTGACAAAATTATTCAATTTCAAGACATTTTAGGAAAGGTTTAAAAAGGTTAATAAAATGATGGTACAAAAACCGAAAACACCAAATGTTTGGATTGCATTACGGTATATTGAACCGACGGCAAAATACCATGGTTCTACTAATACCATTATATACCTTTTCACCCCTATTGAATATTTCTTAATGACAATGTTTAAATGGCAGTAATCCCAAACTTACCAAGACACAGAAAAATACAGATAACTTGATAACCTGACGTATTGTCAGTTTGCTCATAGAGCGGAGCCGAGCCTCCTCAGCTCGCTGAGATGCCTGGTACGACAGTCTCGCCATCAAGTGTTCCTCTGCATAGGTCTCTGACAACTGTCGTACTTCTGATAGGTTGTTGAACCTAACAGACTTGCTAGATGTAATACCTGTAAGAGACAAGGGTCTTGAATAATCTGAAATATCATAGTTTCAGTAAGTGTGACTGTTTTCCTCTTATGATCATTAAGTAGAAAGCAATGCCTGTGATGATCAAGGTTACACCTGTCTTCAGAAACCCACACTTGTCATAAAAGGCCACTTGTGCTGAAGGGGTCGTTGTGGGCACAAGTACTACAGATGTGTACCACAGGTACGTTTCTGCATGCAGAAATGAACCCTTGCCAATTCAGAATACAGAAACATACCGCATTGTCTATTAAGTCTATTCCGCATTGTACTTTTTTTCTATTGGAACTGCCATTGTATTAGATACATTTGAGTGCATTATATAAGAAACGAGCATACACAGTAACAAATACCACACATATTTTGTTGAACGGGAACAACCACATATGGTTTTGGATTTGGGATGCGGAATATGGTCTCGTCCAACGTTTAGGGTACCGTGTTGCTGTATTTTGACTTTGTTTTGGGTACATTTCTGTATACAGAAACATACCTGGGGTACATGTCTGTAGTACCTGAGACGACAACTTTCATGTACAAGTGGTCAAACTCACTGATCTGGTGGATGCATGTCATTGTATCCCAGTACAAACTACCATCATATAACTTAAATTCTGCTGCACACACATATGTTGCTAGTCCTAGACATAGAGACAACAAAACATTTACTATGTGCATATTTGTGTCCTACTACTCAGTTCAAGTTTGTAGCAAACTGGATGTATTAAAATCTGGTTCTGAGTTATAAAAGCGACTAATCAGTGATGACCAGCACAATTCAGTAGTCCCAGGCAAGCAGACTAAAGTGAACTTTGAGGCTTGTGTTATTGGTACAGTTCTACTCACTCCCTGCATCATCGGATTCAGTGCCACTGTTCTTGTCTTCATTCTTCACAGGCACATATACTGGATCACCCTGAAACAATAGACTGGGATGTAATTCATATGTTTATTTGTATCACTTCTTAATGCTGTTCAAAGACTTTAAACTGGCTGTTGTAACATGTAAACTGGCTGTCAATGTAACATGAATATTCAAATATCATAAGCTGCAAAAACAACAGAAATTACTGTCTAGTAGACATGATCAAAGGCGAAATCTTACTACCACCATGTTGCATGTATTTATTGTCTGTTATGAAATGGACTCGGGCCTGTGGATTTTATACTGAATAACCTTCTCTAGAAGGCAAACCCTAGTTTCCAATAAGAACAAAAGATCTCTCACAGGCCTTTGAAGTGATGAGGAAACTACTACCAGCAGGAGAGCCATGTGAAAACATGAGACACCCTTACTCACCAGCATGTTATCCACTGCTGGAGGACTTTCAATATGGTGTTCCTCGACTGTTTTCTGAAAAATATGAAATTATTAACAATAACAAAGCTCATCCACACTGGTCAGCTAAAGTGCAGTAGCTGGGAATGGTGTCTTAAGAGTAAGATTTTAGAAAAACTATGAGCAGGATCCCCAAAATTCATCTTGTGTGATATACACAACCAGTAGTGCATCTGGATTTCTTGCAGCAGGCTGCCACCCTTGATAAAGTAACTGCTTCATAAATAGTAAACATACATAGGTCAGAATACGTCCTCAACGCACTGGATGCAGGGAACCATTTTAAGGTAATTGCAAAACAGAAACATTTCATGACCCACATTATTTATGACCCTTTTCCAAATTTTTAATTGGCAAATGATAAACAAAAAATTAAAATCCATCATTAACCTAACAACATGACCTTAATGACCTTAGTGAAACTGACCTTCGGTCCTCGCCTGCACTGGTCTCGCCAAGGTCGCCACAGTATGAACCCCGTCAAGTAAACCACAAACATGGCAGTCTTGAAGTATGATGTAAAGTATGGCTTCTTGAAATCTGTGTTCTTGAATATGTACTGCAAGAACATGGTCCAAAGTGAAACTCAAAATACATTTAACATAAGGTCTAGTAAAAATAATTTTGCTGAGTTTAATAGGGCTATCTGCCAAAGACATACTTTTCAACACAATGGCTGGTCTGTACAAGAATCTATTTGACGGGTACTTACCTCCGTCAACTCGGATGATGCTACCCATATTAGATCCACAATGAGCAGCACCACAATCCCTAGTATAAGTCTCTGTACTTTCGATAGGCCGCTTAAACCCAGCATCTCTCTTATTTCAGAACAGACACAGCTAAATCATGACTGTCAAACGCTGAATTTACAGCAAACAAAACGTTTTCACAACTCTTGGGCTTCTCTTTACATCTGAAACAAAACAAGAATGCAATGATCTAAATACAAACATCTGGGTGTTACATTAACTCTTGTACTCTGATAAAAGACATGTAAAATTCAGACGGGAAAAGTGACATTTTCTTGTGGCCTCCACTTTCAGCATAAACTAGATGGCACTTCAATGGAAAACAGAGATTCAGAAAGGGCTAAGTAAAGACAAAAATGCCTTATTCAATATGGCTGCCTTGCTGCCATGTTTGAAATATTATGGGAATTATGCAAACAAATATTAACTTGGACATACAAAGAAAGCATCTGGTCCACAGGCTTCATATTTCCACAGATGTTGATAAGTTACCAACAGGCAGACAAGAAATCCATGTGCCATGACAGAATCATTAGAATAAAAACTTCTCACCCTGCAAAGGGATTGAATATCAAGGTTTTTTCAAGTTTTGAAATTCTACAGAGTTGGCCTTTTTGACATATACATCAAACCATCTAACCACAAAATTACCATAGTTGTTTTGCATGTTGATATTTACACACACATCCAAGTGAAGTTCATATTGTCGGTGCATTTATTCATAACATTTGTTGATAGCATCTTAGTTTTGCATTAAATCATTATTCAGATTGTTGTAATGTCAGTAGCCATGATGCCCGACGTGATGTTGCTGGAATATTGCTAAAAGCGGCATAAAACCAAACTCAGTCAGTCCGTCAGTCAGTCAATCGCCATTATGAGTGATGAAGCCAAGCTGCATGGTGAACTTTTCTTAACTAGACAATCTGTCACTTTCAGAATTACATTTGTTTTGCCATGTAACCATGGTAACATACTTTTATGTATGGCTTGCCATCATCAACATCCCTGAAAGTCATGTGGAGTGTGGCACATAATTTTTCAAAATCACCTTATTTTTTAAGACCTACTTTTTGTGATATTTAGATTATTGTATATCACATACATGCTTATCATGTCCATTAGTCAAGCTGAAATCGATCCAACAGTCTGAATAGTCCAGACAATCAAAACAATGCAGTTTCATTTTTTTCACTGCCTGCACCAGCTACAATCAAGTGAATCAGATTACATCATGAAAATATTAACTGCACAGTGACATCAACAATTTTATCGTTGTCACTGACAGCAGGCGATTCCTTATCAGTAGAGTGAGAGGGTTATTCATCCAATGTCATGGCCAACTATCTTGAGAAATTCTCACAATACTGCATGTCTGGAGGAATATTTTGACAGATGGTTGCTTTTAACAGACATTTTCCATGTATTCATTCATAAATTTACTTTCTTTTCAACTTAAAATCAGCTTGTCCCTCTCTTTCACAGTACTCTCAGCCCTTCCATAAATTGTTACAAGATTGTGTACCCAAAGTGAGATCTAAGTAATTATGATAAAATCTACATTTTCTACTTCCAGTAATTGATCTACTTGATACACAAGATGGGAAAAGACTTATTTATTATTTATACCAATAAAACTGCTGCCATGCACGTGTAGTGGAAAATGTTACCTGCACTGGGTTCAACCTGACAATAAACACTCCCTCACCAACAATGATTTACCTGCACTGGTGCAATCTGGACAGAGCAAAATCAATCCCTGTACAATTATACACCAGGAATAATATCAAGCACCTCTCATTCATGATCATGCAGTCAGAACATCCCAATAGCTTTGGAAAATATCTGCATGTGACCAGCAGAGGACGTAACGTGTACCCGAGACGGTCCCCATTACTCTTAACAAGTGACTACCTAAGAGGGGGTCACTCATTCCCATGACTGCCTGATCACAGACAGGGACATTCAGCTTGTCACACAAAAACGCGTCTAAAAGTGTTATTTATGAAAATAATTAAACACACTTTGGTGACACTGGCATCATGTTGATATGTTGAGGATACTGATACTGATAGCTAATGCATTAATATATAGTTGGTACATGAACACTGTTCTTCCTGATAGTCACATGAGGCTGTGTGATAACTCGCTGTGCCTAACAGGCTGCATGAGTTAAATACTCCCCAGGGAGTTGAGATGGTTAAAAGAATGCCAGAAAAAAAAAGACACCCGTTGATCAAGGGAACACTCAAGTGCCTTAGCATGCACTAGTTCGGTGGATATGTGCGCTATATAAATATCCTATCATCATCATCATCAAATGGACTGTGAAATCGATCCCTGACTAATCATTCTAGTGTCTACTACAAAATCTATCACACAGGCATCTACAGCAGGGCGGATAGCTTTTTCAGGGGGTCTATGAGCAGGGGTACACTTCATTTTCATGAGAGTTTCCATTGCCACTGCCCCCCTCTGTGCTATGATCTACAGGATCTAGTGAATGGAATATTCTATTTTTTAAACAATTTTGCTTATTATGAAATCAGAGCAGACAGTCCAGATGGAAATCTTTTATGATGCTTTACATTATTATTATAATACATGTACATTATTTATTGATTTATTGATTTATTTATTCAACATTGAGAATAATATCTTTCTACATTAAAGAGAGCATACCGCTTACTCTTCTAAGGGCTTTGATGGTTGCCTGTGGAGACAAACATTGTAAAATAATAATCATACATATATAAATGGAAATTTGTGTTTCATGTCTGAGGATATCTTCTCAGTGAAAGTGAAAATAGTCTTGAGAACAGTTTCATCAATAAAGGTCTCTTGTACCAACTACAAACTCTTGGTATCCGATCAGTCATTCAGGGCAGCACAGGTAGCCTTGTAGCATTCAACAACAAGAGCTGTAGAACAATGCCCATAATGATAACTGAACCTCATCATGTTGAACGTAACATAAAAAATATTGCATTAAAGCCAGATGTTACAAGAGAATATATTTGTACTCTGTCATTGTCAATGATGGCAATATCCTCCATGATAGTTGTACAACTAATAACTGTCGGGCAGTGTTTGCCAGGATGATATGCAAAATGAATAGGACACTGCTGTCCAGGTACAGTTCTATAGACAATCTCAATGGATGCTCCAATTTCCACATTTAATTATCCAATGATCTTGTTTACATCTGTGCATCACTATTGTACAATTTTACCATGTATGTAATGTGGAAACCGCATGACATTAAACAAGTCAATTATTGACTGGAACTAATATATCTATAAATACAATATTATGAGTGTATCAATATTTCTTGTCTCGACTCACCGTAAATAATTCAGCATTTACCTAAACAGCTGAGTGGAACGTCGAAAATTTGATGTAAAGAGCACTCACATTTCTACGGAATCAAGCCTTTGATACCATCAAAACTGGCACTCATTACAATGTTCCGTGCATTATAATGTCAAGCAATGGTGGATGTCCTCCTGTCTATGCTATTATTTGACTTTCTGGCAAATATTCCAGTGATTCATAATCAACAGTTCGCAGTTTTAACAACCGGAAGTTTGTGTGTAGGCAGTGGTATTAACCGACAGAACAATTCTTCAGTCATAAGCGTGTCACGAACAAGATGCAGTACCGCATACACATGACCGTAACGTCAAAGCCTTCAATAGCGGAATTTATTCTCACCTAAAACAAGGTTGAGTTTTTTAAAACTTCACAATGCATTCATTTCGAAGGGTGAGGAGTTTATAATGCAACATGAGTGATTTACATTGCTTTCGACAACTTTTAATGACGCTTCACCCAATAATTTCCGTTCAGATTACAAAGTGGGGTGAGGTGAGGTGAAATTGGGTTGTACGTCGTGCTTGAGAATATTTCGCTCATATGACGACGTGCATGCATGCGTGTGTATGTGTATGTGCGGCTGCTTGTACTACTTAAGCTGGTTTTATAGCCCACTGAGACACCATGCCAGATTACAAAGTAATAACAGGGACGTCATTGGGGCTATTGAGTGGGATTACGCTCGGGTAGATAATTGTGCGGGTGATGATAAGCGTGTAACTTTAATCAGTGGCTATTTTTAGATAACAATGTCCTGGCTGTTTCACTTTGTTTGTCTGTTTGGGAAATACCAAATTCTTAGAAAAAGACACTGCTGATTTAATACGTGACGTATAAATGTTATGTTCTGTCGTAATGGAACGCGTGCGCACTGTAACAAGACTGCCTGAGACAGAAGAGTTCCGGAACCAAATCCCAACTTCACAACATATCCGAACTATTCCACCTGGACCATGCAAGTAACCTGTGTACTGTTTTCCCAGAAATAATTGAGAAATTCCTTGTTAAGTGATACTGATAATAGAATTTTAAAATAGGTGTTGCAATATGTAGTAAGGTACTCAACATGGGAAGCAACTCTTGAAGGCTTAAGAATGAACCTTACTACATCAAGAGTTATCTCCCCTGAAGTGGCAGACGGCTTCCTTTGTTGACATGGCAGATTTGACAACAGAAGAGAAAAGAAAGCTGGTTCTAAATGATTTGAAAGGGGTGTGACTAATGCAAAAGAGTTAGCTGATAGACATAACTTTCCTCTGTCTACAGTATACAGAACTTTGAACAATATTCAGCCATGAGTTGGGACTGAACACAAGATAGGAGCAGGGAGGCCAAGGAAGTTCAGTACTACGGATCGCCGCCCGGCGACTTTGTCAGACTGTGAGTAGGGGAAAATTGAAAAGAGTTGTGAATCTCAGAAATGAGATGATAAATAGAGGAAGTCCTCAGGTATGTAATGATATTTAGACAAGAATAACTAAGACTTAGCTGGGTGAAAAAGCGCGGAATTCCCTCACCATTGGTGAAAGATGCACAAAAAGAAAGACGTTTTCTGTTAGAACTGATGAAAGCTCTGTCAGGCTTTTCTCCCAATATTGTGTAAAAATTTGGACAAAAGATACCGAGAAACCTATCTACCAACGCCCAAAACATAGCTCGAATGTTCACATGGGGGTGGGATATCATCACGAGGAGTGACACCGGGCCGCTGTGTATTTTCACTGAACTTTTGACGAAGGAACGATATGTTGATCACCTCCTTCCAACGGCCCGAACACTGTATGAAGATACATGTAATTGGATTGATAACGACCCAAAACACACTGCGAGCTACACAAAACAGTGGTTGTCGGACGAAGATGTTCAAGTTTTAGATGTGGCTCAGCTACATCCCATATCTTACCGGCCCCTATTAAGAATGTGTGGGGACTAATGCAGAACAGAATAAACCAAAAATGACTTAGAAATATTGAGGATATGAAAGAAGAAGTGGTCGAATATTGGGATACGCTGTCACACGATTTCCTACAAACTTTTATCGGTAGTAATAAATACTAGTATACCTAGGCGCATTCAGTCGTGTATTGAAGGGCAAGGAGGTCTCACAAAGTACTGAAAAGACACTTTGACTGTTAGAGAATCACGTCTCAACATAGTCATTTAAGTAAAACTTCTGAGGGTTGTTTATTGTCGAAACAACTTTCTCAATATTTTCTGGGAGTACTATCCGTGGATAGGGAGTTATTCTTCATTGTGACACTACAGTGAACATCATCAAACCTCTCTGGGGCATTAGTTTTGATTTTCCTTATCCACGTCAACAAGAAGAATATCTTTACGTTTGCTTTGCTGTAGTATTTGTGATCAGAATGAGAATACATCCTCCACAACGCGATGAGTGACTGAATATGTTTTTTACGCCGCTTTTAGCAATATTAAAGCAACATCACGGCGGGGGACACCAAAAATGGGCTTCACACATTGTACCCATGTGGGGATTCGGACCCGGGCACAACGCGATGAACGCCTAAGAGTTTCTAGCATGCTTCAAACTGGTAGACCTCCGAGAGGTGGCTAGTCTGTCTCACAGTCCCTGAACCTTTACTGCCTTGCCCTCCTGCAAAGCTAGAGCCCTAAATGAAGCAAGTCTAGATTTCCTTAGGTTAATCTCCAATCTCAGTGGGCTCCTCTTTCAATTAAAAAGGGTTTATTTGTTACTATCAAAATTGTATACATATTCATAGACTAAGCGCTAGTCTAAGGGGTAGCCATTGTGTTCTTTGTATCCTTTGTCGTTAGAACATGATCTTGCAGACACGATTTGTTAATGATCGCTCCACCAGGTCGCCAGAGACAACACATGCAAGTTCAGGATCGAAAAGCCAAAAGCCAGTCAAATCACTATTCACTTGCGTCGGGATACTAGGGTTAAACTTAGTCAGCAAACACTTGTTGAAGAACTTACAATCTACACATTCCAGCTTGCCGCCAAAGGTGTTTAGAGCGTAGAGTGAGTGAGTGAAAGCGTATGGTTTTACGCCGGCTTTAGCAATAATCCAGCAATATCACGGCGGGGGACACCAGAAATGGGCTTCACACATTGTACCCGCATGGGGAATCAACCCGGGTCTTTAGCGTGACGAGCGAACGCTGTAACCACTTGGCTACCCTATCGCCCCCTTTAGAGCGTAGAAACTGTGGGAATGACTGATGGCCTCGTGTAATGACACCGGCTGACCGTGTACATGTCTGGAAGCGTCTTTGGTAAGAGTATACTAGTATATAAGGTAACACGACAGAGTTTGATTTAGGTCTGGAAACTGCTAAAACGCCACTGAATATTGTCCATGGGATTTGTTGGTTAACTGGTTGTTAACGCCGGACTCGGCAGCATTCAAGCTATATGGCGACAGTCTGTAAATAATCCAGAGACCAACAGCATGAGCATCGAACTACACAATTGGGATAACATGACATGTCAACTAAGTCTGCGAGCCTGACCAGCCGGTCTCGCTAGTCATCTCTTACGACAAGCATGCTTTGCTGAAGACCAATTCATAGGAAGGTCACTGGACACTATACAGACTGACGCTTAGTCTCTTAATATATATAATAGAAACATCTTTTACATTGAAAAAAGGGACCCGGTGAGAAGTGAGGTGAGGTGAAATTGGGTTTAACGTCGTGCTTGCGAATATTTCGCTCGTATGACGACGTGCATGCGTGTGTATATGTAAGTGCGGCTGCTTGTACTAGCCCAGACTGAAGCTGGTTTTATAGTGCTAGCCCACTGAGATACCATGCCGCAGTGAAGCATGAATACCCCACTCAGACACATACTGACTCCGAGCCGACCAGTCCTTGTTGTACCCATTAATGCCGAACGCCAGGCAGGGACCAACAAGTACCATATTTTAACGTCTTTTGGTATGACGCGGTCGGGGATCGAACCCGCGACCTTCCGCTCTCCGGGCGGACGCTCTTACCACTACACCACGGAGGCGGTCTCGGTGAGAAGTGAGATTGCTGAGGAAATCTAGACTTGCTTCATTTAGTGCTTTAGCATTGGAGAAAGGGCTGGCGGAAAGGAACTAATGCTGCCCAGGGCCTGTGATTGAGTCATCTCAAACGCTGACTATTTGACTAAATATCCCCGTTGTCAGCCGCGGAGATCCGGGTCCAAACTTGGTTATTTACAGACCGTGGCTATATAACTGGAATATTTCTGAGTTCTGCGTGTAACAACACACCAGTCAATCAACCAACACCCCGTTTTCTTTGTTGTGTATATCTTGCATCATCAACATGTTTTGTTGATCATAACTGTATTCCTGTTCTCCTTCCTTTTGTATGCATCCATTAACATCGATTGGTGCATCTTGCCATTTTCTTTTACACTGCGTTTTGACAGAACTTTTCTTTTAGGCTGCGTTTTAACAGACTTAAAGGATATTGCTGTTAAAACCTGTATCACGAATGCTTTTCAGTATAACTGTGTATTCATGAAGTTCACTTTCTATCTGTAATCACCTCTAATATATCTTACGTTTAGGGCAGACTATGCGTGTTTTATATTCATTTGCACACCTTAACTGGCGTAGCGAAGATCCGGGTTAGAATTTGTCTTCAGCAACCCATCCTTGTCGTAACGGGATCGGCTGGTCAGGCTCGCAGGTTTGGTTGACAGATGTCATCGTATCCCAACTGCGTAGATCGCTGTTCATGTTGCTGAACATAGGATTGTCTGATCAAGACTCGCTTATTCACAGACCGCCGCCAAATAGCTGGAATATTGCCGAGTCCTGGGTTAACAACAAACATCTTACAGTATGAAGCGTTCTTAAATCTCCCACATCTCCCGCGACCCATTAATTCACACGTACATGAAGTCTATTTGGAAATATGTACTATACATTTTTGCATTTATTTTTGAATACATATTACCCGGTAAAAATATCCGTAGTTCATTGATCAGACAAATGACCAAATATCGAAAGTATTTTCAATGCTATAACATTAACGCTTCTACATGAAGCACTGTTACTTTCATCGTAAATATATGTTTCTGATCAGGACTATATGACGATAATTCCCAGAATGAATGTTTTTTTAACTAGTTATGTGCATGATTTCATTTGGTGAAATATGAGATGATAATTTTGTGTTTGAGTGTGTGTGTGCGTGTGTAGCCAACTTGAAGATTATGGTTTGAAATATTTTCTCTATGGGTAAACGCTATCCCGCGATCACGTGATTCTCACGGGAAAACATGGCTGCCTCCATGTGACGCAAATAACTTTGTATTTGACATTGAGTATGTTTTATTTCCAAACTCAATATACTGTTGTCATTAATTTGCAAAAGTAAGTTGATTCACATTTAACAGATATCATTTGTTTGTTTAAGGGAGTCATTCATGGCTTCAAGATTTATTTTTGATAAAGAAGATTCATATCTTCAGTGTCGGAGTACCAATAAGTACCTGGGAACCTTCATTGACTCTAAGCTGAACTGGAACTCTAACACTGAAGCCCTATACAAAATGTGTCAACAACGTCATCATCTCATGCGTAAACTGAGATCTTTTAATGTTAACCCATCTGTGATGTCATCTTTTTATGCAGCATTTATTCAGAGTATTTTAACCTTTTCTTACCATTGTTGGTACGGGTCTATCTCAGTTCATCTCAAATCTAAAATAGACAAAATTGTTAACACTGCAAGTAAAATCGCTGGAGTCAGATTTGAATGTTTATCATCAACACATGAGCGGCAAATCGTGAATCAAGCTGTCAAAATTATATCTGACCGTACTCACTACTTAAATTCGGAATACGATCTCCTCCCTTCAGGCCGCCGCTACAAAGTTCCAATTGTGAAAACTAAGAGAGCCTGTACATCCTTTATTCCAAGTACCATATCTCTCTTAAACAAATATGACGTTACCTAAATCAATGAATTTATGTAAATATGTTTTGTATCTCTCTAATGTGTCAGTAGCTCTGCTGATGTAACACGAATTCCTGAAAAGGCATTTAAGTATTATTCTATTCTTTATCCTGTAATCTAGCCCCCCCCATCATGTAAACAAATGCACCATTCACTAGCTGTTCATCGCCCACACACACCCTGTGAATTCGCTCAATCATGTGAAACCTAGAGAGTGAACATTCTGTGGTACATTTTGTGTGACATGTGCACAAATCTATAGTAAAATAATCGGGAAGACTGGAATTCACCAGATGCAGGTTATAATGAGACTATAATGCCATCTTCCCATGTCTGACATTTCTGTAAGCAGCTAGAGAGAGATGTCACTTCCACCTGGAGTTTGTTTTGACTGTCTGCCTGTGCTATGTAATCATCAACATAACTGATTTGTTGCAGGTCAAAATGACGTCAAGACTAAGAAACATAATAGCAGAGAATTATAAGAGCCCGAAGAAAGGTCTAGTGGGAAATTTTGTTTCAGTGAGTGTTGATTTAGCCTTGATACATAGAGTTCATTGCCATGATGATTCAACTATAATATATTTTAACCATTGCAATGGTTAATTAGAGGCAGATTATGTCTTTGGGACTGATCACTTTAATCAATCAGAGTGTGTGAAGTGTGCTAAAATCTTCTTCCTAGCCTGATCTTGGGTTTGATGTGCTTGCAAGATAAGTATAACGAAAGTGAATGATGTGGTATCAGTAGGAATACATCTAGATTGCCTGACAAAAGACCCTGCAGGACCGAAGCCCCACAGACAAAAGCCCTTTTGGGCGAAAGCCCCAAACATCTCAGACAAAAGCCCAGTCACAGAACACTCCCATCTAATCGTCGACTTATTTACACTCTTCTTAGTGTACATAAAGCCCTCAAAGCTAAGTTTGACACCACCTTTGTTATTTCTTAGAATTTCCATTTTTACTGGTGGTCATTTTTCAGCAACATGACTATTTTATAGGCACTGTTAAGTTTAGTCTTGACATTGAGCAGATCCTGTTAACACTGAACACTTAATTAATGAATAAAAAAATGAGAAGACCCTGTTGACATTAACTACTGTAAACGTACTTATTTTCGCGTGGTGCAATTTTCGCGGAATTGACAGTTTAGACTACATCGCGCGGTCAATTATTCACGCAATCAGTAATTGCCGGAACTGCCAGCTGTCTCTTTGGCCGCCACTAATAGCAGTGAAAACAAACAGAGTGGCTTAACCTGTCAGGCGGCGTTTATTGCTTACTCACAGGAAATCCCTATCTGTGCGATATACTAGTACACAGTAATCCGTTTACTCACGGAAGAGATGAAAAACACATCAGTCTTATGTTCCGAATTCTGACGATCTGACCGAATTAACTTCTACTGTATATGAAGCTCTCTGTGATTTCAAACAAGCCGGGTTGTTGTGAATGAGATGATTGAGTGTTAAGTGACTATTCGCTTCATGATGTACTGGTAAATAAAATCTTAATGAATAAATAAAATACTGCTGTATTATTTCTTTCCGAAGTCGTTTCATGGTAATCTGTTTTGTATCAAACCATCTGTCATGTGACCAATTTCCATGGCGCCACACACACATTGCTGCTTTTTGCTAATTCGGTGATGGATTTGGCTCATTATTTAATTATGTTTGAAATCCATTACAGCGACAGTTAAGTATGATTCTTTATGCTACTATCAGTCGTCATTTTAAGATTCCCGTAGATTTCTGTCTTCAAACTTGATGTGTTATGGTAACAACTCAGGGGCGAGCGTGGCTAGACTGAATGAATGACAGGTTTATTCGCGGTGTATAAATTTTAAGCTAAAATGTTTTTCGAAAAGCGAAAAAAATAAAACCTGCGCGAAATATAATACGTTTACAGTATATTAATTAATCCTTTTCAAACCTTTGGATTAGCCTTCTCAAGACTACCTTCCTCCTTAGACCACCTTGGAAAAACAATACTTAAGTGTCTTAATTAATCCTTTTCAACCCCAATTTCTTGATTAGCCTTCTCAAGACCAACCTCCTCCTCAAGTACAGCTTCCTACTCAGACCACCTTGAGAAAACATAATTTTGGACTTTTGTCTCATTTGTTATTTTAGCTATGGGGCTTTTGCCCAAAAGGGCTTTTGTGTATGGGGCTTTGGTCCTGCAGGGCTTTTGTCTGTCCACCATATCTAACTAGACTTTGGTGGTGGGGCAGCTTAGTGGTTAAAGCGTTCACTCGTCACGCCAAAGACCCAGGTTTGTGTCAACCACTGTCATATTGCTGGAATATTGCTAAAACTAAACTCACTCACTCTTACTAGACTTTGTTTTTAATCATCAGGAAAAGTTCAACCACATCACAACAAGTGTGCCAATATGTCATTCCCGACAGACAAAGCTCAATCAAGGGAACCTGTTTCATATGTATATTTGATTGTTGTTTAATGCCACACTCAGCAATTTTCTGACTATATGTCATTGGTCTGTATTTAATTGAATCTGGACAAGACATTCCAGTGATTGACATCATGAGCATCAATCTAGGATTAGGATACAACATTCATCAACCAAGTCAGTGAGCCAGACCACCCAATCCGATTGGTCACCTCTCATGATAAGCATGAGTTGATGAAGACCATTTCTAGCCCAGATATTCACATTTCAGATGGCTATCATGTGGAACGCAGTCACAAAAGCTTGGGGGCAGTGGGGTAGCCTAGTGGTTAAGCGTTTGCTCATCACACTGAGAACCCTGGTTCGATTCCCCACATGGGTACAATGTGTGAAACCCATTTCTGATGTCCCCCTGCCGAGATATTGCTGGAATATTGCTAAAATCAGCGTAAAACTAAACTCACTCACAGCAAGCTTGTGACTTTCATGGAAAATAATTAGTAAACTCTAAGAAGTCATTATTAAGATGTGCTTGTCATGGCTTAGGATGATTTCTCATACCTGCTGGTTTTACTTGCAGAAATTTGTGTTTGATAAGCGCAATGTGTACCTGGAGCAAAACGCTGCTCGTCTGAGTCGTATCCAACCACATCACAAGGTGTTAGAGGTCGGCTTTGGATCCGGTCATGGTCTGCAGGAGGCCTACAAGTATGTCAAAGGTATGTCTGTCTTGTACTCTTTAAGAACGGTCCTCTATAACTCCACAAGGAGCAAGACAAGCTCCATGGTTTAATGGTCTGCTCAGAAGGAAAAATGTTAGTGCAATATTCATTATAGGCCGCACCCTTAAGCCATTCGCGCACTTATATTTAACATGGCGCACTGTACAGGTATGTGGTCGTGTCGGCACATCCATAAATGTATATCTGAAATGCATCATGAGGTTGTTTTCGCTTGGCAACTCATGCAAAACTCAGTACGTCTTTGAAAACAACAGTACACCTATTCTTGCAGAATCGTGTTTTGACTTTCAACCTGTGTTTATAATGATAGTGCGAAACCTGCAAATCGGTGTAGTTAGGAAAACCAAAGCACTGAGTAAAACTGGTTGTGATAGTTTGGTTTTCATCAAGTGAACCAATCACGTTGCATGCTGCAGTTTCACGCTATGGGGGATATATCGGCTGTAAAACGCAGATATCCGTCAGAATGTCTTACATTTGTCAAGAAAAAATGTACATACGTGTTTGTTTTGTTAAGAATATGTGTTTCCATCTTTGCCAGTGGCTGTCATTCTAACAAGCAGCAAATGGTAAGATGTGCATTACCCACCAAATAAACAGTCAGTTTACAGGGTATGGTTAAGTCCAGCTTAAGAATTTCGAACAACATTACAGGTATCCGTGTGTTACTGGCTTTCTGACTCTTAAACATTCGTCAACAACAATAATTGTAAAACGTCATTAACCCAAAACATAATCCGACAACATAATGTATTAGTCACTGTCAGACTGATCATAATTATAAGAATTACTGTTCACTGTCGAAGTTACCACTTGTTTTCAAAGTTTCAAGTTGAAAACTCAGACTTAGTGTCAGCTAGACTAAGAAAACTGTTCAATCAGTATTGAAATGTTCAGTGGAGTTCTCAATGAACATGGAGCTTCAGTTCATTTTTAGTGTATAAATATCAATATTTTTCAAATTATGTTTGAATTTACTGTTTTATTAATGTGTTGAAAAATAGTTTCTCTTTTGAAAGTTTGAAAAAGGACTGACTGACTGAGTTTTGGTTTTACGCCGCTTTTAGCAATATTCCAGCAACATCATGGTGTCCCCTGCCGTGATGTTGCTGGAATATTGCTAAAAGCGGCGCAAAACCAAACTCAGTCAGTCAGTCAGTGTACCCATTTAAAAAAGGAAGTGAACTCATACTAGTAACTAGTAGTGTATGGATAAAAGGTCACAGCAATTTGACATGACCCACAATATTTTCTAAATGACCCACATAACTGAGGGTTTGTGAGCCATGGGCTCCCTTGTTAGAAATGCTGGAATGAACACTGTCAGTGGTTCAATGCCTGGCCACATTATACCAAAAGGTTTTATTAGTTGTAAGTTTGTTTGGTACCCATCATTAAACACATAAAACAAGAATTCTTGGAATAAGGTGGCCTTTTGGTCAAAGCGCTCGCTTGTCACGCTGAAGACCTAGGTTCAACTCCCCACATCTGGTCACTGTGTGAAGCTAGTTTCAGGTGTTCACTGCCGTGATGTTGCAGGAATAGTGCTAAAATTGGCATAGATTTCAAGGCCGAAGGGGTTGTTTTGACCATGAATAGGTATGACTTTTCTCATGAAAACCTGGGTGAGAATTGGTCTTCAGCTACCATGCTTGTCATAAGAGGTACTAACGGTATCAGGTGGTCAGGTTAGCTAAACTGGTGTACATGTCGCCAGCACACAAAGTCATCCCAGTTGCGTAGATCGATGCTCATAATGTTGATCACTGGATTGGTCCAGACTCAATTATTCACAGACCGCCACCATATAGCTGGAATATAGCTGAGTGTGGTGTTAAAACGACAAACCAACCAACCAATCTCATGAAAAGCCCTGTGGTTGAACCCAAATCACACAATCTGTTTCAGATGGGACTGGGATGATCTATGGCATAGAGTATTCTGAACTGATGCTGAAGAAGGCAAGTCGCCGGATGAGGCAGGAGATTCAACGTGGGAAGGTCGACCTGTGCATGGGCTCAGTGATCCAGCTTCCATACAACACAGACACGTTCGACAGCGTCTTCCACTGCAACACCTACTACTTCTGGCCCAACTTGAAGGTCGCCAGTCAGGAGCTCTATCGAGTGATGAAGCCAGGCTCAACAATGGTGACGGCCATGAACCTTGACAGGATTAGAATGTTACAGCGTAAAGGATTTATGAAATACGGTAGCCCCGATCCTGTGAGGTTTATGTGGATGCTTGAAGAAAGTGGTTTCGAGGATGTCAAGCTGGAATACTTGTCAGATGGGGACAAAAAATTTGAGGCCATATTTGCCCGAATTAATGAAAAGACTGCTTATGATGAAGACTTTGAAGAGGAAGTTGCACAGTTTGGCAGTTTACAAGATGAAGCCAAGCCATATTTTGCAGACAAACTGAAAGGACAGATTGAACCTTCTGTTTCATGACCTTCATTGTGAAAGGTTCAAGAATATAACACTCTTAAAGATTGTCTTAATTTTGAATGAAGATGCTTTCTGTGTGGGCAGGTGATTTATAATTGCAATAGAGGTACTTGGCAGTATGTTGCAATGACACAGTTGAAAATTTGTCAGCCCTAAATACACATGCCGCTCTTCGACCTCACCCCCATTTTGTCCTGGCCAAATGAATCTATGGCCCTTTTAGCAAGTTCAGTTGAGGAGAACATTTATACATACAGACACTGGAGAATGTATAGTTAACACCATGTTGTCATTGCTGCTTGTATGGAGGACTCAGATCTGTGCCAGGAGCTTTGGTCAATATTATTCCATGACACAACATTCAAAGATCCACGTGACATTCTTATGATATTGCAGTGTCGTGTTGATGTGAGAGGAGCTGGTCTGTTTCACAGTTCCAGTCACCCGTCAAGATCCGGGTTAGAATTGGTCTTCAGGACCTGTGCTTGTCGTAAGAGGCGAATAACAGGATAGGGGCTCGCTGACTTGGTTGATACATGTCATCGTACCCCAATTACATAGATAAATGCTCATGCTGTTGATCACTGGATTATCTCGTCCAGACTCAATTATTTACAGACCGTCGCCATACAGCTGGAATATTGCTGAGTGTGACGTTAAACAGCAAATTAACCAACCTATCATAGTTCCAGTCAAGATGTAGCCTCTGTAATTAGTGCCTTGTGTGGCAGTGAGACAGTCTGTGTGTAGTTAGGGTGACAATCAGCATGGTAAGACTCTAGAATGATTTTATAAAGATATCTTAGCTGGCAAGAGAAGTGATATTTTTTCAACACAAATCAAATTTGTCCCCTTCTGGGGAGTTGCTTTTGTTACTGTTGCTTTATCCTTTAGGTCAACACAGTGTTATGGATAGAACTTCTTCCCAGAGAGAAATGATGGTGGTTTAATCCCAAGGATTCAACGTAAACTTCTTACCTAAAGGTGGTTAAATTTGTTACGGAATTCTTTCTTTAGAAAGGTCCTTTTTTAACAGTTTCTGTGACACAAGTATCCACTCAGAAGCTACTTAAGCTGCAGTAACTATAGCACATATAAAACAGTAGATGTGAAGAAAAGTGTTCATTGTACAGGGATCGATTTATGTCCAGGCTGCACCAGTGCAGGTACATTATTGCTGGTGCAGGTAGCATCAACTGTCAGTTTGCAATCAGTGCAGGTGACATTTTCCACAAGAAGTGCATGGCAGTGGTTTGATTGGTATGAATTGCACGTTTAAATCATTTCTATCTTTGTATGAGGTAAATCATTTACCAGAAGTAAGCAATGAAAACAAATCTGCTTTCATTCTCATAAATCAGTTATGTGGAGCTCACTCTGTGTACACAATCATGTGCCAATTCGTGCCAAGGTCAGAGGTCACTGTGTAATATGTCACTTGTAATGTGGACAAGTTGATTTTAAGTGGGAAAGAATTTAAATTTATCAATGAAAATAGCCATAGTAAAGTAAACATAATCATTTGTCAATCATTTAAGTGCTTCTGTGATAATCAGTCATTTGTCAATCATTGATTTAACACTTTGCAGTGATGGTCAATCATTTGTCAATCATTGATTTAACACTTTGCGGTGATGATCGGTCATTTGTCAATCATTGATTTAACACTTTGCAGTGATGATCAGTCATTTGTCATTCATTGATTAAACGCTTTGCAGTGATGATCAGTCATTTGTCAATCATTGATTTAACGCTTTGCAGTAATGATCAGTCATTTGTCAATCATTGATTAAACTTTGCAGTGATGATCAGTCATTTGTCAATCATTGATTGCAAAGCTTTGCAGTAGATGATCAGTCATTTGTCAATCATTGATTTCTGACAAAACTTTGCAGTGATGATCACTGGATCATTTACAAAAAAACGGGTCCACATGCATTTAATGCCAAACTATAGTCATCAGACTAAAAAAGCGTGAATGCAGACTCACTCACACACACGCTCTTTTGTCGTTTAAGAACTCTGATTTTCTGTGATAAAATTTCACCCTTTGATCAGTTTTACTGGGTCTGAAAAAACAGTCAGCCAAGTTGTTCTTCCGTACAAATTTGTAACTTGGTTACCTATTGCGAGATACTTATAATCCACTGGCTGGTGGCCATCGACTACGGTATATTTTCATCAGGAAGGTTGATTCATGTGGTTTTGATGTTTGATCTGGTTACACAGGTGATGTAGTAGTTGGCTTTTCATATTCTTGTCCCTGAGAGAAACTTGTGTGGGTGAAGAATACCTTTACACTTATATTTCAGCATTGTTCAACATGATGAGTTTCGTGGTTAAACAAAGCATAAACATTTGTTGCAAGAATGATCGATCTGCAATATTCAGCTCCGAGGCCATTTCTGTCCAGTGATGCTGATTATACTATTTTTAGAAATAGTTGTTTGATGTGAATTGTGAATAAATTAATATGCAACTTGAGATATTTCCTGTACTGTATATTGTAGAGAGTTAAAGCATTCTAAAGGAAACCAATTTCCATCCTTTGCCCAGTAAATGTCCTTGAAGGGTGTGAAAATTGAAAAATCCCATCTGAGTATCTGTGAAATTCATCTTGACATTGATCAGTCAGTTTTTGTATCTCTGTATGTGGCTCTTCCCACCACAAATAATGAATTAAACCAATGCTATTGGATGTAAACCATAGTGAGCAAGCTCTGCAAGGATCAATTACATGTTCAAGCAATACCGAAACAAGTACTTCAGAGTGAGTGTGATCAGACAAAGGCACAACAATACACTGCACTCAGTAGGATTGGTCGCACTGGCAGTGTGTGTGTGTGTGTGTGTGTGTGTGTGCGTGCCCGCGTGCGTGCGTGTGCAAGAGAGGCGAGGCATGGCATGTTTTTCCACAGACTTTGTCTTGGCTTGTCATGCTGAAGTCCAGGTGTGAGTCATGGGCACTTCATCCTTTGTGTCCCACGTGATGATGCACAGGTCGAAACATAAACAAACCAACGCTATGTTTCATGTTTTTTTATTTTTCCTTGCCTTTATACAAAAGGTCTGTACAAGATGAGTAATGGAATGACTTACTAAAATATATAAAATGCTAACTTATGTAGGATAAGATGATGGTTATCTTAGGTGAAGCCATCAAACTCCGTGAGTTGATTGGTGTATGATATATAATATATAAAAGTGAATCAACTGTCTCTAGAAACACAGTATTGCCTACAATCACAGTAAGGGAGACAACTACCACCTTGACAGTGAAAGGGGAGGTAACTGCGCCAGAAGTTGGATGGAGAAGATTTATTGTTGGGCAAAGATGGGATGCTTTGAGACAATTTTCTGAATATTTATACATTTTCCGAAGACAAGCCCAAATCAAATCTACCTTTTACATCCCATCTTCATCCAAACAGGATAAGGCACATATTTAATTGCATAAAGTTTTCATTTTTTACTTTGCCGAAAATATTATGAATTGAGTTTGGTTGTGGGAGATAAATTCTTTATCACAATGGACTTTCAGGACTCATGAAAACAAGGTCACTACGTGCTTAGCAGGTCAGATCATCACGTGACCTTTGAAGGTCAGCACAGCCTTTCATGGTGAATATCTTTGATATAATTGTACACTATATACAGAGCAGGGGTGATTGCACTTCATATGCATATTCACACAAATTTGGGGTTTTAATATGAAAATAGACTTTCGTGAACAGGATCACTGTTCCTAATCTTAGCACTTACAGATGATAAAAGCATGCACTGGGCCCACTTGCACAGAAGATCTCAGCATTAAGATGGTCGTAACACTAAGAACAGAAGATCTCAGCATTAAGATGGTCGTAACACTAAGATGGTTTCGTGCAGACTGGCCCTGAGATGGGCTTGCCCAATAGAGGAACACTTAACCAATCATAAGTTGTATTAACAATACAAACTGGCATCAATACATTCTTATTGACAACATTTTTCAGCCGTTCAATGCCATTGGGTTAGTACATTGTATCAGACTTAATTCATTCTCCTTCGAGTCATCACAACTTGAAATTTTCCAAATCTCCAATTATTATGCAATTTAATGATCAAGTCATGGAGATGCTTGAAAAGATAACATTATTATGATTGAAGATGTCAAATTTGTATCATTTCTCATCGTCAATAATCTCAGTCATTGTTTAATCAAACCAATAGTCTTTTTCTTCATATATTACTATCTAAACATTTGGCACCATCATAAATAATTTACAATGACTTTGCAACTTAAACACTGGGACACATCCAACAACAAGATTTTGATTATCAAACAAAACAGGTGTTTCTACGGGTTGCATCTAAAATCTTCAGGTCACAACAAATTGATTTCTTATTGAATGTCAGCCACGTTGGATTTGAAAATGTCGAACACATTAATGATATTTATGTTTTAAAGCATTGTGTCATAAGGTTTAATCAAACACAATGGTTTCAAAGTTGAAGGACCTAATATATACTTCAAGTTTTCTGAGGTTTTGACACAAACGTCACATGATGACTGAAGAGTGAGTGAGTGACTTCGTTTTACGTGGCTTTTAGCAATATTCCAGCAATATCACGGCGGGGGACACCAGATATGGGCTTTACACATTGTACCCATGTGAGGAATCGAACCTGGGCCTTCGGCGTGACGAGCAAACGCTTTAAACTCTAGGCTACCCCACCGCCCCAATGACTGAAGAAGTAATATGCAAAGACAAACTTTTACTACACAACAGTCGCAAGTCCAACACATCAAACTAAGATATGACAGTGTTTGAGTGTATATTTCAAATTTGCTGACAGTGTAATTAATTTGTTGTGGCCTTTCTACTGGTATACTGGAACCTACCATAAATTTCCCACCTTTATAACAAGAAATAAAATAGGTTTCTCCACATCTGCTGGTTGGATCTACCCGACCTTGGTTTGAAACGTAACCAGTAAAAGTATTTACAATAACGCTATTACTAGTTTAACAAGTGTAGCCATTAACAGAACAACAAGATGCTTCAAGACAGGCACTGTATTATGCTGTTCGGGAAATGCAGTATATTCCCTGCTTGCATCCTTATTAACTTACCCATTTTGGGAACATCCTTATGCAAATCTATCTACCTTGAATTATGCATTTCAATTTAAAATAATTTTTTAATCACAAAACAGCAATAATTATTTAGATTTAGCTAATTCCTATCTAATAAATAAATCATAAAGAATTGCCTGCATCAATTCGATTTTTATGATCTACCAATACTGGATGTTTTGTTCAATTTGGTGATCACATGACAAAGGACAAAATGGCTACCATCGAATTCCTTATCATAAATGAGTATATCAAGGTGACATCTCAATTAGCATACAAAGTATTCTGTCCTCCAAGAACCAACACTGTGTGAATTCCAAACAGGTTGCAATGGCTCTGGCCGGGTCTTTCCATGACAGATAGACTGTGGCCATTTTGTGCAGATAGCTAGTCCTGTGTCACTTGATCAGCAAGTTTAAATCATGGGAGATCTCATCTAATAGTGCGATACTTCCTAACAAGGCATGCAACATGACCAATCACAGCTGATGTAACAAAGTCAACCAATCATAGCTGCAATAACACTGCTGAGACAGTTACATCACAGTTTTCCAACATCCCGTCAAAGAAACCTTTTAAAAATACTCGGCAGTATCATCGTAGCAAGGATCCTCTTGAGGAACTGGAAACTTCCAACTGGACAAAGATGAACATTCTGTAACAAGGTATTCCTGAACACACTATTTGATGAGTGCACACCCACAGTATCGGTGGGTTTGTCTTCCGCTATTTCAAATCCATGTGTAAAATGTATCCATGAAATGTGTTGACCACGTCAATCCGATTTACAAACTGACACCATTACACATGTATGATGATGGTGATGGGTCTTGTGATTGTGAACATGCAGCGACATATTTTTGATCTGGGATATAGGTCAAGGTCACTCATCTTAATCTCCGACTTATTGGTATGCTGTTTTAGCTTTCCTCCCAATGAACACCCCAAGCATCAGTCATTTGTTAGTAATTTTAGTAATAACGATTGTTGATAATCCATAATTAGGCCCTGTTACCACCTGAACTGAAAATACATTAGCATATATGCATACACATTATGGGCCAATATATCCACAGGAAGTTGCATCATTTACCTCACAAGGGGAGACTACTCCCTACAAGAGATCTCCAATTATGGAGGGAATATTGTCCCTTCCTCCACTGCCTGCAGTTTTGGGTCCGGGAAGCAATGCATAGATGTTGAATATATAAATGCTTTAGATATTTTCATACTTCTGGATTTGCGGAGAGTTACACAAGTACATCATCATCAAACGTACGCATGTGTACAATAACGGTGTTTCTGCATAATCAGACTTCGGAGCAAGAGAATGAGCACTTGCAGAACACAAAACACAATATCTGATGATGCCTTTGCAACATTCATGACTGGAGTAAACATGGATCTGTTGAGACCTCCGATGTCTGATGTGCTTTCGGAGACATCGCAACACTGGTAAATATCCGTCCTCCAACGAAACAGAGCAACCTTCCTTTGTCCTCCAAACACATAAATATCATTTTGCAGCCAAATGCTTGAAAGACAGGTCTCATGATCAGATAATTCCTAAAGGTCAAGGCCACATGCTATGTCAGTTCGGAAAAATCTATGTGATAACAAGTCCTCAGCTGAAGGTCTATCGGCTGGTTTTCGATTGAACATATATGTCAGAAAATCCTTTCCTACAGAGGAAGTTTCTTTCGGAAGATCATATTTTGGGTGTTTACACGTGGCTATCTGGAACATGGCAGCAAAGGCTTCGTATTCTGCAAATGGTGGCTTCTTCGTTAACATTTCTACAACAGTGCACGCAACACTCCTGCAACAAAGAAGAATCAATATTGAATATTGACGTCAATGTAATGGGTTGTTAGCTGTTTAATGAAACACTAAGCAACATTGTAGCTATATGAAAATCTTTACTGGGCAGAGTGAATGTATAAACTGAGTGAAAAGTATTTCACTTTCAAATAAATGCAAATAATTTAAACTGAATAAATGCTTGTAAGAACATAGTGTGTAAGTCTCAAATACAGAGAGGTAACTTTTCTGAAACAGTCTTTTGAACCTTGCGTCCACCGACATTCCATTCGACATTTTACTTTATCAAAGGTGATCTCCCTTTGATTTAACCACTCATATTTACCTCCCTTTGATTTAACCACTCAGATTTACCTCCCTTTGATTTAACTGCACACAACTCCCTCCCTTTGATTCAAACAATGAAATTTCAGTGAGCAAGACTGAAGCAAGTTTCCATTTCAACAAATCATAAACCTGACCACAAAGTTTGTAGTTCTCACTTACCACCCACAAGATGAACCCATGGGAGTTAAACTCAGTGTCTTACATTATGAGAACAGGATACAACTTTACTGTATACGTACCACACATCTGCCTTCCTTCCATAACCCTCGCCATTGATCACTTCTGGTGCCATCCAATGAGGTGTACCCACAGCTGACTTGATGCCTGTTGCACTACATATTGTCTGTAACCTTTTGGATGCACCAAAATCACCGACCTTGACATTTCCGTTACTGTCTCGAAGAACATTCGCAGCTGCAGAGAACACAGACAGTATTTAAAAACAGTTACAGAAATAAACATGTAATTTCCAAACCATGACTCACTGCAAATTCTGCAAATTACAAGTGGCCTGCTTCATAGTGAGTAAATGAATTTAGTTTTACGGCTCTTTTAGCAATATTTCAGCAATATCATGGTGGGACACACCAGAAATGGGCTTCACATATTGTACCCATGTGGGGAATCGAACCCGAGTTTTCCGAGTGACGAGCGAATGCTTAAACACTAGGCTACCCCTACGCCCCTACATGGCCCATAAAATGCCTCTATTACAATTACTACCCAAAACAGATGAATTATAATTATCTATGTACAATATTATAAACATATGTCCTACAATATATAAAAAAACAGTTTTCCCTCCTATATTTACCTTTAATATCTCTATGGACGATGACATTTTTGTGCAGGTATGCGAGCCCCTCCAAGACCTGGCGAGTGTATTTCCTGACCACCTGCTCCTTCAGAGCGCCGTAATTGTTGATCTGGTCTTTCACAGATCCCTGCAGCAGAAAACCACAAACATCAGAATCCTAGTCTGTCTCACAGTCCCTGAACCACATTATTTTCCCTACTGCCAAGCCCCATCTGCAGTGCTAAAGCCCTAAATAGAGCAAGTCTAGATTTCCTCAGGTTCTGAATTTCTGGTCTCCTTTTCAATTTAAATGGGCTTGTTTATTACTATCAAAATTATATATATTCAGAGACAAAGCGTTAGTCTATCAGTAAGTAACTTTACTAAGGGGAGCAGCAGAGGGGAAGCAGAATTTTACTGATAACCTCTGCATTTTGATTATTGTGTTTTATATTTGTTGGTATACTCGGACATTAAGTACATCTTCAAAGGAAGCTTTAAAAAACTAATTTAATTTCATATTCTACACTGTAGCCTCAGGCTATTAATACAGATATACCATAATTAACATGTGGAACAGTCCTCGCAAAATCCCATCCTCGCATACACTTTCTGAACCATAATTATGAATTCAGAGAGTAGCTGGGTTGTATTTTGACATTATTTCAGGAATAAGTATCAAAAGATTTGAACTTCTCAGAGTGAGTGAGTGAGTGTGTGATTTTACGCCACTCTTAGCAATATTCAAGCAATATCTTGACTGGGGACACCAGAAATGGCCTTCACACATTGTTCCAATGTGGGGAATCAAACCCGAGTCCTCTGCGTGACGAGTGAACGTCTTAACCACTAGGCTACCCCACCTCCCCTCTGAGACTTGAAATGCACCCAGGCAGCTGACATACCCCTGGCATTAGCTCCATGAATATTGACAAGACTTTACGGTCCTGCTGACACCCGTAGTACTGGACGATGTGCTCGTGGTGGAAGTTCCGTAACAACTGCAACTCATTCTCCAGGGCACGGACTTCCTGTAAAACAACATGACGTTCAGCATTTTCAAGATTATCATTAAATAACAGAATACATTTATTAGTCCAAAACATGACATCAGCACATAAACATATAGTTTTTGTGGATTTCCCTTTCCTGTGGCTGTTTTCCCAGGGGTTCTTCTAAATGCAAAGCTGCCATTCATTCAACATACAATAAGAGAGTCTAATAAAACTAAAAATTAATCATTTCTTATAAAACATTTCTGAACTGCTGCCTGAATGAGCGCTAAAATAAATCCTGTTATAATGTGCTACACTGCTTCTGTTTTAACAGGCCTTCAGTAGATATAATCTCTAAAATACCAGCAACACGTCTTACTTTGGAGGTTTCTGCATTGACATTTCCCAGCTGCACTTGCTTGACAGCTAGCTCTGTTCCTGCATCCTCATCATAGCACACGAACACTTCTCCAAATGCTCCAACACCGAGTTGCTTCCCCTTCTTCCAGTTAGAGGGTGCTCTTGGAGCTGTCAATCAAAACATGTGATCAATTACAAAAGTTAGCTGACTCTTAGCATTGTAGTATTTTCTCTATCTGTGGTGACGTGAGGTGAAATTGGGTTTAACGTCGTGCTTGAGAATATTTCGCTCATATGACGATGTGCATGCGTGTGTATGTGTATGTGCGGCTGCTTGTACTAGCCCAGACTGAAGCTGGTTTTATAGTGCTAGCCCACTGCCCACTGAGATACCATGCGGCAGTGAAGCATGAATACCCCACTCAGACACATTATACTGACTCCGAGCCGACCAGTCCTTGTACCCATTAATGCCGAGCGCAAGGCAGGGACTAACAAGTACCATATTTTAACGTCTTTTGGTATGACGCGGTCTGGGATCAAACCCGTGACTTCTCGCTCTCCGGGCGGACGCTCTAACCACTACACCACGGAGGCGGTTCTATCTGTGGTAGATTTGGAAATATGAAGCTACAACAATGAAGAAGCTCAAAGATCCCTGTGATAATCCATCACATAAAACTCTCTAAAGAAATGTGAAAGCATCTCAAGTGGTAAAGGGAAAATGATGAAGGACTACAATAATAAAATGTGCTGCATCCTCGATGAGGGAAGGATTTGATGTAGGTCATAGACATTTACCACTGTGATGAAGCCTGTGGATGCCGACAAACCAAAACACATGATCAGGGCACATCTGGGATCAGAACAAGGATAAGTATGTGGCATGTATCAGGGCCCCAACTCTGCACAATCAACTGCAGCACCTTAGATACCATCTGTGCCACTAAGTTCTCAATGACTGATATCCATATTGACATTTCATGATAAATGGTGGCTGTAAGGGGAGATAACCATGTTAAATACAGTAATACTAATTTTAATACAGCAGCTGCGTATTGGTATTTTAACACTGTTTTGTATCATATTTCAATATCTCATGAGTGACAACTAAGGTGGGAGGCAAACACAAAGTAATGCACAATCTTATCAGTGAGATCATTGGTGACAAAGGTCAAAATTTCAGCAAAGCAGACGGCATACCAAAGGGACACAACTCTGTATGTTCCTCACACAGCACCCAGACATGGTTGTCCAGTGATAGTTTAAACAAAGCAGATACGTAAAGCACATACATTTAGAGAACTGTAGACTGTAGAAGCTGTACATGGAGGGGGAATCTTCTTCGGGGGGAAGGCCGCTACTACTGCTGCTGCACTCGTACTCATCGTCCCCTCGCTGCCCTGGGACACGATCGAACGTAACGACATCGTGTCGTGCTCTGGACCCTTCGGTCGAATTGTGGAGCGAGGAAACGTCTGGTGACCTGGGGATAGAAATGGGACATTGTTATCATCATTGTTGTCATGTACATCCAATTAACTATTAATATTTTCAAAGTAATTAAGAAATATTTTCCAAAAAGTAATGGATATTTCAACAACAAACTTTTCTAAATTGTAATCATAATCATCTTCATCATGATCATCATCATCATCAGGCGACTAACAGGATCAGGTGGTCAGGTTGCTGGCTTGGTTGACACGTCATCGGTTCCCAATTGCGCAGGTCGATGCTCATGCTGTTGATCACTGGATTGTCTGGTCCAGACTCGATTATTTACAGACCGCCACCATATAGCTGGAATATTGCTGAGTGCGGCGTAAAACTAAACTCACTCACTCATCATCATCATCATTAAAAATACCTGACATAATTTCTTGGAGAACATGTTTCAAGTTGTACATTATTTCACATACCTTCTACATTTGGGTGATTCACAGCATCATAACCACGAGGAAATGTGCCAAATGGCCGTCGCCCTGCTGAAAATATCCAAAAGAAAAACAATACTCAAATGTTCCACTGTAACAAAAGTAAAACAACAATTTAAACAGGCAAAAGAAAATGAGTCCTCTTTAGTTTATGACTAAACGCCTTAACCAGCCATCAAATGTTTTAAACTAAATGTCATACAAAATAACACCATGATGCAGAAGCCTTGAGAGCGTTACAAAAATAAATGAACCAGTTTTCACAGAAAACGAGGGTCCTGAGTGTGGCGTCACTAACCTTGACTGGGGTCGTCCTTGCAGCCATCAGAAAGCACACTTCTCCGGGAATCTCGGCGCCCCCGAAATGGGTACGTGTCGTTACTACTGCAACAAGAATGCACATAATGCAGTTCAAAAACTTCCATTTTTCAATCTTACTCATAACATTTTCTATGTTCCTAATCGAAACTTATATCATATAATTTCATCTGTTATTACACATATTGCATCATTTATTGAACAACTGCATCTCCTGCATAGACTTGCACAAGTCTCTAAGGTAAAAATTAACAGTTTAAATGATAATTTCTAAAAAACATAAATATTCCTCAAACAGACTGGTGTCCTAAGATACAGTTCGCTTATCTAGTCTTGCCTCTTTGAAGGATAGAATTACTATACATCCATGGGCTTAGCATTCAGTACAGCCTTGGAGCAAGGCTAACCCTTGCATTACTACTTTAACTGCTTTACTTATTGAACCTAATGCATCCCAAACTGTACTCACTAATTCCTTATTAAAACCATTTTTTACTGAATGGTTATTAAACCTAATGCAACCTTTTCAACATACATTTCATATCTTTTGCACCTATTACTGATGAACAGCCATTTGTTGGAAGCAATGCATCCCTTATTGCAACCAATGCATTGCATCCCTTATTGCAGCCAATGCATTGCATCCCTTATTAAATGCATGAATATTATTATAGACAGAGTGCATAAATGTTGCAGTTTCCTAAATCACCAGGGCCTAGATTTTCGAAGCTCTCTTAGCGCTAAGATAGTCGTAAGTGCCATACATTAACATTAACTTACAACTATCTTAGCGCTAAGAGAGCTTCGAAAATCTAGGCCCAGTTCTGGATATATCACACATGACACACATCAAACAGATATACTCACTGTCCACTGATATAGCTACTGTCTATTGAGGATATACTGTCGCTTGAGCCTACATGACTGGGGTACCCGATCTGCAAAAAACATGTCATTTTCAATCACTCGGCAACAAATACACAAATAGTGCCTGACAAGTAGAGTCATCAAATATCCTCACCTCATCATGCTGAATAGTAACACAGTTCAAATTAAATACATTGTTCACCAAGCCTTGGTTTTAAATGCTTAACTGGCTGTATGCAATAACTTCACAACCCTATATTACTTTTACAGAGATAGCTGGTCTCCAATTGTTTGTTATCATTCTTTTTCAATTCCATATCATCAGCATTATCATCAGAAAGTTGATAAATCTGATAATATTGATTATTTAATGCCACATCTGCTTACTTACTTACACCAAACTACAGGCGTAATGAGTTGTATCATAATAACAAGTGTAGAAGTGAGCACAGCTCACATACCCCCGCTTCCCACTTTGGGACATGGAAATGACTGATATTGATATATATAATGTGGGAAGGATCAGCAGCTCACAAGACTTTCTCCTTGACTCTACTAAACTTTATATACTTTATAGTACATGTTAGATAATAGGTTTGCCTTGTACTGATTACAGTAATAATTTATGGAAACATTATTTTTGTGTGTTTTCCGTGGAAACCTGACATACAATTGAACTTGTTGCACACAATGAAGTGGACGTAGATGAAGATTGTTATTTTTTAGCACATGGCATATCTGTGGGTCATGATTAACTTGTGTATTAAGTTTGGTGAACCTAGCATGTATAGTTTCGATGATATGCTGTGGCCAGGTAACCATCAAACACATTTTGCACTAAGTCATGTTTCCATGGAAACAACAAAACAAATTCTGAAAAACTTTAAAATAGCAAAAGGCACATCAATGGGTAATGATTAACATGTGTGTGAAGTTTGGTGAACCTAGCATGTAAACTTTACGAGATATGCTCCGGACAAAACCATCAAACACATTTGGCACTAAGTCGTGTTTCCATGGAAACAGCAATAAAACAAAATTCTGAAAAAAAATTAAAATAGCAAAAGGCACATCAATGGGTAATGATTAACATGTGTGTGAAGTTTGGTGAACCTAGCATGTAAACTTTAAGAGATATGCTCCGGACAAAACCATCAAACACATTTGGCACTAAGTCGTGTTTCCATGGAAACAGCAATAAAACAAAATTCTGAAAAATATTTAAAATAGCAAAAGGCACATCAATGGGTAATGATTAACATGTGTGTGAAGTTTGGTGTACCTAGCATGTAAACTTTAAGAGATATGCTCCGGACAAAGTTTCGGGACAGACAGACGGACGGAATGAACGCTATATACCCCTTACTTCGTAGTGGGGGTATAATTATATATAATATAATGATAATTATATAACCATTCAGAAGAAACACAAATTGTCACACTTCCTGACCCACATACAAATAGCACCACAACACGACCTGTATGTTCTGTCACACTGCATGATTAATATTTATCATTATCATTACATTATTTCATCCCAACAATGACAAAAACAACGAAAAAGCATGTCACATATCTCTTCCAAAGATAATCACGATAATAGTTAATTATTTATCGATTACGTTTCTGTTTATTGACTAAACAAAATGTCAAGAACAAATTAACAATTTTTGTATAAGTCAGATGTATGAGTAGATTCAATGGTCTAAAATTTAAATTAAGGTGACGCCAAAGACATCTTTTTATAAGTAGTCAGGAAAATGTCATTTACAATGTGAAATATTCCATCAGTATGAAAGTTTGCTGTGTGAAGCTCAGATTAAGTTTATTTATGCCAATAAGTATTTATCTATTAATGCAAAAAATAATCAGTCAATGTAGTTATTGAACAATAGTGATCACAGTATTAAACTGTGAGAGGGATCAGTTTCTGGATGGAAGGATGTACAACAGTTAGGAGGAATAAATGATACTTCTGTGATATGTGTGAGTGAGTATGGTTTTACGCTGCTTTTAGCAATATTCCAGCAATATCATGGCAGGGGACACCAGAAATGGGCTTCACACATTGTACCCATGTGGGGAATCAAACCTGGGTCTTTGGCGTGACCAGTGGACGCTTTAACAACTAGGCTAACCCACCGCCCCTCTATGATATGGAAGCAAAAAGCAAAACAATAAATGAAAAATAGATTATTTATAAAATATTTTTATCAGCAGCAAATGAAATCATTCTTGTGAACCTTCTGCGAACATTAAATCACTGCCACTCTGTTTTTATGTCACAGAGGTATTATTTATTCATCCTATCTTTTTACATCCTTTCATCCTGAAACTGATCCTTCTACAGGACACAAGGAAACTATTGCACAGAAACTCATTGTCGGACTCGCTTGGAAACAGAGCCATACAAAAGGACAATGTTTCAAAGGAAATAAAATACATGACCGTGATTTTCATCGGCTCTCATTATCACAGTGAATCAGTTTGTATAAGAAACAGATAAAACATTATTCCTTGTGGACAAAAATGCATTGCATTATTAGGTAATAATCTGACGTGCTAAGATAAATATTTTAAACTTTGTACAACTCATGTTTACACCAGTAGTGAGTGAGTGAGTTTTACCCTGCTTTTAGCAATATTCCAGCAATATCACGGCAGGGGACACCAGAAATGGGCTTCACACATTGTACCCATGTGGAGAATCTAACCCGGGTCTTCGGCTTGACGAGAGAACGCTTTAACCACTAGGCTACCCAATTGCCACTTCACACAGGTAGTGTGATTGAACTAGTGTGTGAGTGAGTGACTGTGTGAATAGGGTTTAACTGTTTTTGATGAAGTTTTTCTCAAGAAGGAAAGCCCAAAGGTGAAGCAGACGTCAGGCAAGTACCACTTTGGTGAAACCCATAAAGATGTGTATGGCCCGGACAAACCTAGAAACACTATGACTAGTACAAGGATCAGCCACATGATCGATGTCAAGGTTTCTGGGATGTCTGAAGGATGTAGCTTTGCACAGCGTATTGCAGCCACAGAAATGAGTACACGTGGGGAATTGAAGGCCTTAACGACAAGGCATCCAACTGCCCTGATACAAGTAGATACTGAAGATGTAATCTAATGTGTCTATGAATTCTATCAGAAAAAAGTGACTGCTGAGTCACATGACATATCAACTAACGTTACATTTCCCTCTGAAATCAGGAAAACTGACTCAGTTCCTTTCCAGCAGAAACAAAACAATGAACTTCATTTAGGTCACAAGATATGAGGGGTCACTCAGAACAAAGCAACTATGTTTCTTGATATCTTGATATATCCCATTTTGTTAAGCAAGTGAATTTTAAGCTGTTTTTAACATTTATCCACATGTGAGCATCGATCTACGCAATTGAGATACATGTGTCAGCCAAGTCAGCGAGCCTGACCACCCAATCCCTTTAGTCGCCTCTTACAAGCATTGCTTGCTGAAGATCAATTCTAACCGGGATCTTCACAGGTCCTGGAATCACTACAAGTAAAGTCAAACTTGATGTAAACAGTCATGGTGACACCTTCACTCGCTTCTGTACTCACCCCTTCATGTTCGGGGTATAAACTGCCCCTCCCCGAGGGAACTGTACGACCCTGTCCGGAAGTGCTTCTCGCTGGGGGGTAGAGAACCGGGAGGAGGGCTGGGGGTGTCACGTACCTGCAACACAAACGACACCATGTTATTATTGTAAAGTCATATCAAGGTGTACTTCTGATGTACAAAACACTACCAGCATTTCATCCAGAATAATTTCTGAAGTCTACCAGTCAGTGTTTGCAAATACTTTAATTGGCCAGTTGGTCATCAGGTCCTGCTGCCGCCTGCAGGTTTTAAAATCTACAGGCCCTGAATGAAATCTGCAGGCCCATTTTGTTAAAGTCAAACCATTGAAAACAAAATAAACTACACTGTATACAGTTTCACACTGTTTCTACAAAATCAACTAGTGAAGCCTGTGGTGCAGAGAGAAGTTTGTATTTGTTAAAGACTGGTGTTGACATTCCTATGCACAAAGTGCTGAAATACCAGGAAGTGAAACTGTAAGTTAGCGTAACATGATGGATCATGGATGATTCCCGAACATTAATAAAGAAAACAATTATGAGAAAGATTCCAGCTGAAAAACAAAACAAGGACCTGCAGATATTTGAAACTGCCGGCCCCATACAATAACAATCCGGCGCTGGGCCTTTGGGCCGGCGAATATTTCAAATGCTGCTACCAGGGACTAGCTCAATTAATCTCAGTACAACAATTGGCCATCATGAACTCATTAATTTTTTTTATCTAACTATAGTTAACAGATTAATTATTGTAACTTTTAAAGAATCTGGTGGTCCTCAACTCTTATGAGTGACCATATTTACATAGACTATTACAATTGTAAAACATGAGATCATATTGTGCACATCAGTCAAGAAATAGTCAGAAACACATATCAATTGAAAAGCATGCCTTTGAACACTGGGAAACTGTATGTCTGTACAGTATGTCTATCTAGGCTGTATTTGGAAACAAACGGTCTCCGGTCATAATGTTCAGTGATTATAGTCTGTTTGCAGTGAAAACATACCAATGAATTTCAATTTAAACCAAAAAAGTAAATCAAATAAAGTGAAATTAAGATTGTGAAACCTTATAATTTTACCTTGCCAATAGAACATTAAAATCTCAGAATTTTATTCAACTTAGGATAAAAGCTGTTTAACAAACGATCATAGTTTCAAATCACTATTACTGGTTTGTATTAGGGTACGCGCAGTAGTCGGAACTGTGAAACAAATGCACGTGCGGTATGAGATGAGCTTTAACTTAGACTACCCTTCTTGTTCTCGGGGTTTCATTTAATGTGCATATCTCCTTGTAATACAAACCAATAATAGCGATTTAATTTCACTTTATTTGATTTGCTTTTTTGTTTAAAGTTAAATTCATCGGAACGTTTTCACTATAAAAGCAGGTCTTCAAGGTGCAATGTATGACTTGCCCCCAGAATAATGAGTTTCAAATAATATTCTTGGATTGTTTAGGCCTCTCATTACCATGACATATTTGATGGTACAGTCGTGTGACAGGGACAACAAGTACCCAGCATGCACTTGGTGATACAGTAACGTTTCAATTTTGTCCTTTGTCCAAATTGTGTAATTTAAGGAAAGAGAACCTGAAGCTAAAATTCTATCCATATCTTTGTTTTTTTTCTGTTTAACAGTAGATGGTGCAAAATGGCAGTGCTATGTAAATAATCGAGTCTGAACCAGACTATCCAGTGATTGACATCATGAGCATTGATCTACACACTTGTATACAAGCACATGTATCAACCAAGTCACCAAGCTTATACGCCTGATCGAGTTAGTAGCCTCTTACGAAAAGCATGGGTTGCTGAAGACTAATTCTAACCAGATTCTTCACACTTCTATCAATATCCTTTCATCACAACTTTAACAAGCTCTTGTCATAGACAGATCCAAAAAGATCATATATTCATAAAAAATACAAATTTAAACATGCAGCAAAAAGGACTAGTTTGAACTCAAAAGCGACCAAAGCAAATGAGCCACCCTTTCCACTGTTGAGAAATGACTCTCTTTACTGTCTACACACATATTGAACATGGGAACATTACTCCAAAACCAAATCGTTGATTTGAAATGCCAAACTGAAGTGATTTTATTTGGCATATTGGGGGACAGATCACGATGGTTCAAGTGACATACGTGTGTATTCTGCGGACTGCATGAGTAGTTGTCGCCAACGCCCGAGTTGCGGTGGTTGGTGTTTCCAGCGTAGGTGAGGTAGAGCCTCAGACTGTTGGCGTGTTCGTTCTGGTCGACAAGCTGAACTGCAGAGTCCAAGTCCTTCTGTGTCAGCAATGGCACATATATCTGCAAGAAACATCACAGCTATATAACATACTGATGAACTTGAAGCTTCAACTATCATACTCCATCCAAACAATGCCGGGCTATATGTATCTCACCATTGCTCTGATTACAGATTGGGTTCATCAGTGTGAGGTAACACTTCAACCATCATTCTCATCCCCATCCTAACAATGCCAGGCTGTACATACCTCGCCATTACTCTGAGTATAGAAGATATTCAAGGTCATCTGATACATCTCCCGGAGGCGAGATGTCAGCTGGTCATACACAACCGGACGCGGAATCGTCATTGCTCTGTAAAAAAATAGATCAAGATAAATGACCACATTCCGTTTAAGAATAAAATAAATAATATAATAAATAAAATAACAACTGACAAATCACAGGAATTACAGCCATCCTTAAATGTAATAACAACTGACAAATCTCTTCATGATACTTCGTAATAAGCTCTTCATCAATTAGTTTCGTGGCTCCCATAAAAAGTGACTACACATCTTCACATCATCAGGAATCACCAAATCCACTGTTGTGCTCAGGTATATCGAGATGTGAACTTAGTGGCATACTAGCTACATTATTATTATCCTATATAATCTGTATGATTATCGTATGATTATGTTTATCATCCCCAGGCACAAGATATGGTGTTGACAAATCTAAATAGATTATCAGGATTAACTAGGATCTGAACCCTCAATTAATGGTTTCACACACGCCTAAGGGAGACAACTCTGCACAGTGAATTGAGACACCTCAGATGAAAAATGACCTGTGTACCAAGATAATAACAATGTAGCTCATAACCTACTTAAAATATGCTGGAATATATTTGAAATGTCCAATCTTAGAAATATTTCAGATGCCCTGAGTGCTGAGGTCAGCGTTTTGAGTGAGTGAGTGAGTGAGTTTGGGTTTACGCCGCTTTTTAGCAATATTCCAGCAATATCACAGCAGGGACACCAGAAATAGGCTTCACACATTGTTCCCATGTGGGGAATCGAAATCAGGTCTTCGGCGTTATGAGCGAGCGCTTTAACCACTAGGCTACCCCACCGCCCTGTCTGTCAGTGTTTTGAACATGGTACTCAACTGTTTCATAACATGTTTACATTAAGTCTGACTCGAAACTGTGTAAATCCAATATCACGTCTCAGTGATATATGGTAGCAACGATAAAAGGCATTTTATGGATGTTTTCATGTCATTTGTACTTTCTGAAGGCTGGAAGTTCCAGGCATGTTGTTTGTACTATTGGCTGTGTGGTATTTACACAGAATATACGTGTCTGATATATGGTCCCAATACTAATCAAATATTAGCCTAACATCTTTCGCCAACTCACACATGAACTTATTCCAAGTTGCATGAATGACAGCCTAAACGCGCCTCTACTCCACACAGGATAAATTTAGCCCAGCCTCAAGCTTACTTAAATAATCAAACTTAAAAGCGATTTTTTCCCCACTGCTTTCCAACTTTTATAACAGGATAACCTTTCAGGTTTGTATGCACAGTCATCAAAATTCCATTTTCTATTTTCAACCTCATGCCACCCACCTCCTACACTCGAGCCCAAAAAATATCAAACCGATTTGTGTCTGTCATTCCCTCGACATCCATAACCTCACCTTCTCCACAAACATGGTTTCATGATAACACGAGTCATAAAAATAACACAATTCAACCAAGCTCATATAACAATTTTCAAGTCCACTCAAATCCTTATTTGTGAAATTGAAGAACCTCAGTAGGTTCTGACACGAAATCCAATCTGAAAAGAAGATGCCTTGAAATGTCTGAGGACTTAGGGCCTTTGGTACAGCTGTTGGTTAAAAGCTTGTGAATAGTTTAAATGTCGACATGTTAAAGTATCAGCATGTTTATTGACTTGGTCTCAAGAATGTTGTTGACAGGGATAGTTTGGGACTGTTTCATTTTCAGGAACTCAAAGTATGTCTGTGTTTTAATGAGTGACACTCTCAGAAGTCTTCAAAGCAACACAAGCAAGTTTACGTGTGACTATTCAAACAAAAAACTTTCTGTAAAATGGGGAGACAGTAATGACAAAAAAATAACAACTGACAAACATTTTTGTGTGTTGACACTGAACGTTGTCATATTGTCAACCCACTGGTGAATGAGTGAGTGAGTTTAGTTTTACGCCGCACTCAGCAATATTCCAGCTATATGGCATGACAGTCTGTAAATAATCGAGTCTGGACCAGACAATCCAGTGATCAACAGCATGAGCATCGATCTGCGCAATTGGGAACCGATGACATGAGTCAACCAAGTCAGCGAGCCTGACCACCCGATCCCGTTAGTCTCCTCTTACAACAAGCATAGTCGCTTCTTACGACAAGCATGGGTTACGGAAGACCAATTCTAACCCGGGACCTTCACGGGTTCAACCCACTGGTGAAACCAACATATAAAGCAATTGAACAGAACTGGGGCGAATGTGTAATTGGGAGAAATATAAGAGAATCCTGCACCACTAAGGGACACAAATCTGCATGTATTTACATGAAACACCCCCACGTCGCCCTAAAACTATAAAGCCAACCAACCAACATGAAACACCAAGGAAACTATGTCCCATGGTGTGAAGCCAACTATCCAGCCCAGGTCTAGACACTGTAATTTGTACCATGTGTGAACACAGAATCCCATGACATACTATTGGGAATATTTAGGTTCATAACTATTGGTGGCCCAGTCAACAACGCAGTCTTAGTGCTGCAGCCCTTGTAAGTCTATATCAATAGGGGACTAACAGAGACCAAGGTATGTCTCCACCTAGCATAATATCTAGCATCCATTAACCTCTCAGTCTCAATAATAAGTCTCTTTTAAATTGTCTCGTTGTTGTAACTATCTTAGCACTAAGACTGCTTTGTGGAACAGGCCCTGGTAGATTGAAACTTGAACTTCCAGACCGACAGCGCACCTTTGTAACAACTTACATGAAACATGCTAGACTAAGAATTGGTCAAATTTACTTATTGTCTAAGCAGGTGATCTATTCATTGGTCAACTAACCAATATGTGAAGGTCCAGTGTGTGGCTTCTTATTCATATCAATCTCTGATATAACTAAACAGTAAACTAGTAGTAGTAACATTTTGCTTTACTTCTCTCTGCTTTCAAAGAAGACAATGAGTTTCAATCTGATGTGATTGATAGTCCCAGGGGTGGAAATAACTTTAAAATTGCTAGTGTACTTCGGTACAGTGGTACATGTAAAATCACTTGCCCGGATATTTTTTCCACTATAAAGGCCGATTTTCTTCTTGATTTTTTAAATAAACAACATAATTAACATTGGAAAGTCAACTGGACACCGGTACAGCATGATAGGCAAATTTGCTTGCCCGACAGAAAAACACACTGGACTGGGACGTCAGGCAATGGGTTATTTCAACCCCTGAGTCCTTATCTATATCTCAACCGATACAACCATGGTGACAACAAGAAAACTCTCCATTACTTGTAAGGGCCAATCAACAGGTCGAACCAACACTTCTAATCACTTTAACTGTTATCAAATGATACAAAAGTGTTTTCCATTGCCTAGGTCTATTATTTGAGCATGGTGATAGTATTTTGAATGTCCGGTGAGATTTTATGTCAATACATGAGGTAAATCTTTGACAAATATAAAATAACCTTCCAATATCAAGGGTTTTAATTGACATTGCATTTTTTTAATGGAAAAGCATGGAAATCCCCTGGGCCCTGTTCCTCAAAGCGACCATAGCGCTACGATGATTGTAACTCCCATACTTTAACATAGACTTACGACAGTTGTAGCGCTACAATCGCTTTGAGGAACGAGGCCAGGACTATTCACTCAGCATTACTTTTCTTGATGAGTATACTTTTGCATCAACCTCAGAAAAGAACAAATGTACATTCTGTTAACTTTCTGTTCAGCATTCAGACATGTAAGTGACACTGTCCTTTGTATCATGACGTCATTGCATCCAGAGCCACCACACACTTGTCTCACAACTGTCAAAGTTGGTGTTGATAGAGAGTACTTCAGAAATGACTGACTATACTCCATATTGTGTTTTCCGACTAGTGGTATTATGACGTGTATTGTTTCATCATAAAACCTCCATCTAAGACAGCTGGTTCCAACTGAATTTTCCACAAAATCTGAAGACTTATATATTTCATAATGATTATCTCCTAAATAAATAAACACTATCAGATAACACAATTTGAATACATATTCAAATATTTTTGTGGTATGTGTGTCAGTCTGTAATGTGTCCATTTCTAATTTTCTTTGTACAAAATATCGCTTAAATATGTGCTAGCAAGGACAAGAAGTGGGCTTGTTGCTCAGGTTACTTATTTACCACCTTTTAGTAAAGGGAAGTAATTCTACAACAATCGTTACACTTGTTCTAATATTTTCTATGCAAGGGAGGCAACTCTTCCACAATGTTAAAAACGTTTCATCAAACGAACACTTTTTTTTCTTTTTTTTTTTTTAAGGCACCGAAAGAAAAGAAATGATCATTACTACAAATAAATCAACTGAACATCCATATTTCAAACATGCAGGAATAGAAATGTGATATTTTTTCAATTTGCCAGAGGGCACTCATTAAATACATAGAAGGGCCTTAGGAATTTATGTGATAAGGAGTATTTTCTTTGCCTATGTATATCATGATCAATATTCACATTCAAGCTGTAATTAGTAAGGCTGTAACGATTCACTCACATATTCGCTGAATCGAACCGTAGCCCTTCATGAATTCAATTCGTTATTCGTGGTCACCAGAACCGAATATTAACGAATATTTACGATTTTTTTAAGGGAGCATGTTTTACTTGAACCCTTATGTCCTTTCCAAAGTGAGATATGCAAGAATGGAACATGTACTAGCATTGCAGTAGTGCAAGTCATGTTAGTCTGCCAAGGCTGCACATGGTACTGTCGACTATAACTATTACATACCAAATTTGACTGTCATGATCACTGGTTATTGCTGTGACAAATCAAAACTTTCAACATGGGCGTTCCATAAAGTGCATCAATCAACTACAATATTATATTCGTGAATAATCATTCGTATTCGTTACCCAAAATTCATGATTCATATTCGCCACATAGTGTATTCGTTGCAGCCCTAGTAATTAGTACATTGGGAATCATCTCCGTGTGAATCAAAGTGAGCAGACGTCTGTGATAATGTCAGGTAGGTACACAAATGCTTTCTCTCAATAATCACATGGTTTACTTTATGCCAAATTCCTCTTCTAAACACTGATAGATCACAGCTCATAACATAATGACAGCTATTTAATAACTCTCCATGACATGGCCATCACTCACTGTTGTGGCGTAACAATACACTAGGTCACTAGGTCCTTTCTTCCAAATGAGGGCGATGGGATAGTTTAGTGGTTAAAGTGTTCATTCGTCACAATGAAGACCCGTGTTCGATTCCTCACATGGGTACAATGTGTGAAGCCCATTTCTAGTGTCCCCTGCCGTGATATTGATGGAATATTGCTAAAAGCGGTGTAAAACTACGCTCACTCACTCTTTCGCATGTGTGATAGTAACATTGTAATTTGTAATAAACAGCATTCAAGGTACATCAGAACAGCTTTTACTAATCAAGCCTTGACGAGCTAAACCAATGACTGAAATCATGAGCATCAATCTACTTTCATGACATAACAACAAGCAGCCAGAGCCTGAATAGCTGGTCTCAATTGGCTATACTAGTGGAAGAAACAAAGGATATTTTCTAACCAAAGCAGCGAAATATTTGTCAGCCCATGTGAGTGAGTGAGTTTAGATTTACTTCTCACGCAGCAATATTCCAGCTGTATGGCGTGGGTCTCTAAATAATCAAATCTGAACCAGACAATCCTGTGATCAACATCATGAGCATCAATCTACGCAATTGGGACACGATGACATGTGTCAACCAAGTCAGCCAGCCTGACAACCCAGGTTCTTGCAGCACAATCCATATCTACTAACATCCAAACCTTAAAAACAACAACATAACTTTACTCGCTCAAAGGATAATATTTTCACTGAGTTTCAGATATCTATTCATATAATATTTACTGTTAACAGGTATTTTGCTTTTTTCACTGAATGGAATCTGTTTGTTGGATAATCAGTCATACACTGAAGTTGACATTATATATCCAACAGATCATATCCTGGGAAATGTGCCAGCTTGTTATACATATTAACAACCCTATCTCAAGCATATACCTCGAGCTGACCTCGAGGTCATATATCTAACACTGATACAGCCCTGCTTCACTGCACCAATTACTCATTCTTCGTATGTCCTAAATCAAAATTTGCCCGTAAGCAGTGCTGATGTGTTAATAATTGAGTTGGATTATTTGCTTATTCAAAAGGCTTGCGTGGTTTTAAACTTTGCATTCCTGTTCATACCAAAATATAAAACAGCTGACATTTGACAAATGACCAGCATTGGTTAAAATCCGTCCAGAAACTAATAGGATCCTACTATTTACAAGGTTACATACAGTAAACAAGTCTTATCCTGTCCTCAATGACAACACGTGATGGTTTTATTAATGGTTTTCCAAGAATCTACTGTGGTGTTCAAATTATCTTCCTGGTAAACAGTTCAGGAAACAAAACCTGAAAAACCAGTCATTGCCTTGCCCCGCGATAACAGCGGCATGTTTATCAAGGCAGATTTATTCAAGCTGGTTTCAGTGTATTATTCTCCTACAAACAAGCTGCAGTAATGCAATGTTTCTCTTCCAATTAAAAGCAAATTAATCCTATTTCGCAGTAAGTTCCTGTACATTAATATGTTAAGTGCTTAATAACAGAAATGAATATTTTGAGATTTCTATACCAAACCTTCAGGATATATTAAGAAGTGCAAACAGTATTTTCCTAGCTGTTAGCTATAGTGGACCACACAAGATTTCAGAACACATGCTATAATTTTGTTGTCGCTTGTCTTGCAAGTGGGTGTCTTAAGAGAATTCTATCTCATCTCTAAATGTGGGGAGGTGGGGGGTTTTCAAATCTTGCACAAAAACTTCCAGAACTTGGATTTAACAAGCAGAGGTCATATTCATCAAACCAGTTTTGATGTCTTTATCTCGTAAATCAGGCTTTTGCGTCACAATAAAACAGTTCATATTCCTCTTCTACAATGCCTGTGTGGCAAAAAAACCCCACTTTTCATCAAATTCTGAAAAGCTGAGTTGTCCTATGAGTTGTTCAAAAGAGCACTATTATTCATTCAAAATGGAACATTGTGTGAAGTTAACTTTTGTCACATCAGATCTTAAGATATAACTTTATTGAAGCAAACTTCAAAAGTGTTCCCCCTCCTTGGTTCGTTTGAATAGGACTTGTAACTGGTGTCAGTTTTGTCATAAAATCTTTTCATTTGTTGTGAGTGCATTTGGAAGACTTCCCTGTTTCTCACAGGTATATCTACATGTTTATAGCTTGCAGGTTCTCCAAATGCAAAAGAAATATTTCTTGTCATATTATCATGTATGTCATGCTGTTGCTAATATTTGATCATCTTGGGTATTATATCTTCATTCTATAATGAGTGAGTGAGTTTGGTCTTACATCGCTTTTAGCAGCTATATCATGACGGGGACACCAGAAATGATCTTTGCATATTGTATTGATGTGGGGTATCAAACCCAGGTCCTTGGCATGATGGGCAAACACCACAACCACTTAGCTACCCAACCGCCCTCCTCAATTCTCTTATGACTAACCCTTCTGACACATTTTCTGGACAAGCTTCATTCTGAACCAGATTCAATGTACCAAAAGCCAAAATTAAGACCAATTTTCATCTTCTATTCCAACAGGCATTACCTAAGGAACTATAATACACTGGGTCATCTAGGATGATTTCTGTCAGTTGTGAAATGTAAGTGTATGTCCATCACAATAAGCACCCTGCGCACTCCAAACAATAGATAAAGTGGTGTTCATTATAACTGTGCACAATGAATTATAAATGAACAAGCTGAGAGAACAAGTTTTAATTGAACTTAATTACAATAAAAAACCTTTTTGATAATAGTCTGCTATTTTCTTTAAGATAAGAAATCTGAAATTTACACAAGAAAATGCGGATACAGACTGTTGTGTAAATGTTGTCTTTGTTGGGGTCAGTAACAAAGGTCATATTTACAAATTGGTCTGCAAGATATTCATTGGCCACTTAAAGGAACAGTGCGCGCTTATAATGACAATTACGGTAACATTTCACTGTCACTTACCTTTTCTCTCCATTATATTCACACTTGACCTTAAGCTCACTTCTTTTCTGTAAATTAAGAACAGCAACTCAATTACTCATACTGCAGCTTTATGCAGTTAACAAAATTTAAATATATCTGAAGGAATAGAAGAAATATAAAATGAAACAGCAAGTAAAATATGAATTTTCTTACCTGGAGATTGGAATATGCTACTCTGCGAGCTTCTCGATTACTAACTCTTAATCCCTGGGCTAGGTATTTTTCGATTTCAGCTGATGGATTTTTATCATCCATTTCAGGCGAATCTGAAAAAAAATGAAGATCATGTGTTATCAAATATGCATTTCTGTTATGGATTACAATCAATCGCTTTAAAAATGTAAAAGTTTCAAGCACTGTCTACACAGATTCCAAGCTGTCATATACCATGGTAGATCAACATGGACACATAACACATGATTACTGAGTGAGTGAGTGCTGTTTTGTGTTGGCAAACCAGTGATTGATAGGATGACAGCCTACATAAATTTGAATAATGATGAAATGCAATGAGTACTGGTCCAGTTTCAGTTTGTTGGCTCAGGGAATTTGACCTACCTAAAACTCTCACTGGGTCACTAAATGAAAACTAATACACAAAAAAAATGAAAACAACAATCAATTATTTCACAGGTAATCTACCTTAAAGAAAAAAAGAAAAAAGGTCATGGTCAACAAAGGGAGACAAGTATCTCTGGAAAATAACTTTCCATTTAATACATCAATGACTGATGGCTCATAATAATCTTTACAGCAATATCAACTAGTTATCTCCCTTTATGGATGAAAATCAGCAGGGGGAAAATTACTAAACTTTCATCTGAAAAGCTTAATGAACTGTTTGCTAAACTGTAAGATTGGTTCATCACGACTGTATTGGTGTTTCCATCTCTCTGTTACAATCCCACGGATGAGTTGACATAGTTATCATATGAACAGAATTTAATACTTTTTTTCCATTTCAAGGGGACCTTACAAGGATGTTATTTCACCTTACAGTTCATACATTCATACTGTAAACATCACTGACATAGGGTCACCTGGGTACTCCTTGTGTATGTTGTAACAAGAAAAACAACTTTATAACTAAACAGAATGTATTCTAAATTTGTAATCATATATTGAAGACCAATAAACAGGTTTTGCAATGACATACATTCAATGCTTTTTCAATATATTAAAAACTTTTTTTTCATGCAGGAGGTTTGAAGTGTTGTTTTTTCTTTAAAGTGAGATTTCAAAAACTTGGGTTAAGATCTTTTGACAATATGTTTAACTTGCTATATCTGGAAACTCAAATTCAACAGATTGTATGCACTATACCTAACCTGACACAGTGTGATACTATTCAGACCAACAGCCTATGCTCAATAAAAAGACGATTGACCCAAATATAATATATATTCATAGCAATCTCATTTTAACAACAAACAACTTCTTTTAGTCAGTAATCTATTTCAATATTTACTTGATATCATATCCAAATATAAATTTCTCTGCAGGATATATTTTCGTTCAACATTATCTGATCCGGGTTTTTTACAGCTTAAAGGTTGAGGGAGAAATTAGGCCTGGTTTATATTCCTCTGTTACTTTCACTAGAACTATAGTTCGAGTGAGTGAGTGAGTGAGTGAGTGAGAGAGAGTGCATAAATAAAGTCTTACGTCACTTTTAGCAATATTCCAGCAATATCATATTAGGGGACATCAGAAATGTGTATCACACATGAGTACCGATGTGGGGAATCGAACTTGGGTTTTCGGCATGATGAACAAATGCTTTAACTGCTATGCTACCCCACAGCCAAAGTTAGTGAGTGGGCAGGGGTACTCATTATAATTATTTATAGAATCCCAACCAGGTCAAGGTGAGATGAGTAAGTGAGTTTAGTTTTACGCTGCACTCAGCAATATTCCAGCTATATGGTGGCGGTCTGTAAATAATCGAGCCTTGACCAGACAATCCAGTGATCAACAGCATGAGCATCAATCTGCGTAATTGGAAACCGATGAAATATGTCAACCAGTACACATATTTACACAACAACTGTTAAATCAGCAAGCAAACGTGTAAAATTGATAGGAATTTGTAAAAGGAACAGACATGATGTTTACACTGAAGGAACTTTGTCGAATACCAGAGCTTTCCCATACCCAAGGGAAATACATATCAGAAAGACAGGAAACATTCAACATCATCAACACTGGTAGACTGTTGGCAACATAATGCTACTGTTGACAAGTTTTTATTTCTCTGAACCAAACAGTCAAACAGATCTATTTTGCTATTATCTGGGAAACTACTTCCAACAACTGTCACAACCAGTTGTCAGGGAAATCTCATTTCATTACCCGCATCAAGCAACAAGTCGTTTATCTGTGGGTCTACAAAACATTTAAACAAAATATTTCTTTAAAGTCACGCATACACCCTGACGTACTACTTATTTAAGATTTTTTTCAGAATAACAATTTTCCCAAATCAGATAAGACTTCAGTCTACGACAACAACAGAAAAACTATGGATATCACATAGCACCTTAAAAAGAATCAAAGTGACAATGCACGAGGTAGTAAATTAGTTTCACAGCCCCTGTCACATTTGCTGAATTTCAGTGTCCGATGTTGGTAGTGTTATGTTTCTGGAGTTAAGTTATGCGTCATTCAGGTCGAATCTGAATCACGCGCAGTGATGACTTCATATCCCAGCAGGACTGGAAATGGCATGTCTTGCGCAATCTGTCCATACACTGTATGTTACACAGTTTTCACATCACATAAATCACGTAACTTACACTCCCAGCACCCATATCAGGTTGCGTCTAAATATCTGAAAATCAGTTGTGAATAACAGTTTTTAGGGTTTATCGCTTCATTTCAGCATGACCTTGGTTTGTTTTACTAGGTGGAAGTTTTAGCAACTGGAGAGTAATTTGAGTGTTGATGTTGCTTTTAAAAGACGTCAGTCCTACACATGTACTCATCATGGATATTATTACCCATATGGTTCAGTTTCTTGTTTCTTTGACCCGTGAAGGTCCGGGTTAGAATATTGATCTTCAGTAACCCATGCTTGTCGCAAGAGGCGACTAACAGGATTGGGTGGTCAGGCTCGCTGACTTGGTTGACACCGTCATCGGTCCCCAATTGCGCAGATCGATGCTCATGCTGTTGATCACTGGATTGTCTGGTCTATACTCGATTCTTTACAGACCGCCACCATATAGCTGGAATATTGCTGAGTGCGGTGTAAAACTAAACTCACTCACTCACTGTTGTTTCGTTATTAGGAACCAAGCTTCACAGGATTCAGACAGGCAGACATGCATGGGGAACTGGGAACTTATCCCTATTAGGACAAACATGGAGTACTGTGGAGATGTACTACCGACCTTCGAATATAAGTTCCAGAAAGGCTGCCACCAAAGCCTCTTGACTTATTATTCATTGGATACAAAGAATCCACACTGTCACTGATCATTGCTTACTGTCTGTCTACTATTTGCACTTAACATAATCAGGATAAAATTAACATGGTCGATCCATTCATTTTGCCTTAGCTGCACTGAGTTGACATTGGAATATAGTTCTGCTTGACAATCAAGCCCTGTCTGACATAGGGGTTATCCTCCACAAAGCAAGCCGACCAGCTCTGTAGGGGTCTACAGAAAGTGAACAGATCAGAGGACCTTGATTGACAAGTGTTGTCACTGATCAGTAGCTAACACTCACTGTACACGCAACACTTCAGTTCAAAGTATTTGTTGATGTTGGTTGTTTAATGCCACACTTTGCAATATTCCAGCTGAATGACAGAAGTAATCGTAAGTAACTGCATGTTGGCCAGGCAAACCAGTGTTTGAGATCAAGAGCTTGCCACCCAGTTAGGTTCCTATGCCACAAAAGCAAGCCTGATCTCTGAATCCATACAAACATCTTTTAGAACCAGTGTAGATATTATTACAGCACTATGAGTGAGAGAGAGAGAGAGAGAGAGAGAGAGAGAGAGAGAGAGAGAGAGAGAGAGAGAGAGAGAGAGAGAGAGAGAGAGAGAGAGAGAGAGAGAGAGAGAGAGAGAGAGAGAGAGAGAGAGAGAGAGAGAGAGAGAGTGTGTGAGTACGTGAATTGGGTCTTATGCCACCTCAAGCAATATTCCAGCAAATATCGCAGTTTCATGACAGGGGACACCAGAAATGGGCTGTACCCAACGTGCCCATGTTGGGAATTGAACCTAGATCTTCGGCATGATGACTGACTGGTTTAACCACTAGGCTACCCAACCCACCACTAGGCTACCCATCACTGCAAGAAAGTTTTTACTTGCTTGCATTTAAATTGCATTTTAAAAACATCAAATAGTATGACACCACCATACATAAGTTCCCAAAGTAGCATTTTCATCTTAGTTAGCATAAATCTCAAATCCCTATTTTCAGGCTGAGTGCTGTTAATAAAATAATACACAAAATCGTCAACTACAAACAGCATCATAAACAAAATTATTTTGAAACTGGTGTTACTGCTTTTTATATGTACCCGATAGACTTGATCTAAGGGAGTAAACATAGGTCCTAAAAATATATTAAGTGATTGAGTGAGTGAGTGAGTGAGTGAGTGAGTGAGTGAGTGAGTGAGTGAATGAGTGGAGTGAGTGAGTGAGTGGAGTGAGTGAGTGAGTTCCGTTTTACGCCGCTTTTAGCAATATTCCAGCAATATCACGGCAGGGGACACCAGAAATGGGCTTCACACATTGTAACCATGAGGGGAATTGAATCCAGGTCTTTGGCGTGATGAGCGAACGGTTTAACCACTAGGCTATCCCACTGTCCCGTAAAAATATATTGAATACCCAAAGGAAACTATCAATGTCCACAGAAATAGCCTAGGCATTGAATGTGAAATGCATCGTAGTGAAATCGGAGTGAGTATTGTTTTACGCCACCTTTAGTAATATACTAATATTGCAGCAATATCACGGCAGGGGACACTAGAAATGGGAGATCCTGAAACTCTGGAAATTCTCACTTGCTCCATTTAGGGTAACTTGAATATGGTAGGGGCTGGGTGCAAGGCAGTTTAATCAAAAGTTAAGGGACTGTTAGACTGACCACCATATACACATGAAAAGCCATTTTGAAATGAAGCCCAGCTGAACATCAATATGCTTACATTCATTTCATGAGAAACTAACACCCAATTACTTCCAAAATTGATTATTTTCTAAAACATTAAAACATCACAAAGTTGGTCTTCCTAAATGTGCTAC